ATCCGCAACCAGGACTACCAGACAATTGACTGTATTCGATAATGACCGGTGGTGTCATGATATAACGTTCAACACTGATTGGGACATGGTAGATGTGACTCGACATCCTGCGAGACGGACGAGTGACACCGTGAAGCTGATATATCCATACTGGTTCATTCAAGTTGCGATGGGGTGCAGAACGGTGACAGATCGTGCTTATTCAGTTGTAACAGCCAGCCAGACGTGCAAATATCCATTTTATGGGCACCTACACGGATTCTGTCGAGGAGCCATGCATGTCCTATGGAGCATTACAACAGATGGAGGCAGGAGGATTAATTGCGAACTCGTTGTGGCGTTTGATTACGCCTTTGTGTGTCCAAGTTTGTCCAGTGAGTCACGCCACATTCGGATGCATGATTTGCCGTTCTCAAGCTGCTGCAACGAAAAACTACTTGATCGGTGGCCTAATTCCTCTACGTCGAGCCACACATGTGGCAACGGATGATGTGTACCCGAGTGCAGCTACTGGCCAGGTGCGGGTGCCCACCTAATACATGGGACCTTTGTTGAACGGCGCATGACCGAACTACTAAAGTCGTGTTGCTAATAACAGAAACGGTACGCTATTAGTAGGACCTGGCCTCGCCGACACGACATGATACTTGCTTGCTTCAGACATTGATATCAGTCATAGCCAGAAGTTTGATTGACCCATTTAGGTCGAGCTGGGCACATCGATCAGAGCACTCATAGTACGTAATGATCAACAATATGCAACACTCATCGATGCGCTCATCAATCATCCGGCTGTTAGTGAAAGAGACACTGTTGTCGTAGGTTGTTAGAGAGGCCTGTTCATGCTAAAAGGATTCATGTATCTCAAAGTCATACGCGATGGCAGGCGTTCAACAAAAAATGCGATTGCTTCCTAGCGTTACCAACAGTACGAGAACAAATACCTTCCTTTCTTCATAAATGCATAACGGGGAGACTATAGCAGTACTAGTACATGACAACTTTGTGTCAAATGATAGCAGTTCAAGCGAGTTCCCACTCTTCCCCATTCACCGTGTAGAGGAGTTCCTTCACGGTCTCATTGTTGACAGACAAGGAAGGCCCAACGGTGAAGTTGGTCAAAAGGGTACTAAAAGTCAACCCCGTCAGAGGAGCAAGTGAAAGGATCACCTGACCACTGGTTGCATTGACGTTGACCGACAGATCAACGGTGGTCAACGTGATAACGATATTGTCAGAGCCAATTATGACGGTCCCTGCAGTACCGCTGGTGAGACTAACGGTGAAGCGAGTGCGTTCGGTGCGCGAAACATAGACCGCGTTCGTCGTGTTAGACGATGTGGGATAGTACCAATAGTCGTAAGGAGCGACTTTGGAGCGAATGAAGAAACTTTGGTGGTAGGGCCACTATCAGAACAATGCAGAACATCCTGCAAGGAACTGACTTACGAGTTTCCGCTGATGTGGTCCGCAAAATGTTCGAGCGGTGGGATAATGCTCAAGCCGCGACCATCCCAGTTATTCTCCAAGGTGAAAAACACCTTGCCGAGGAATTCAGTCGCAACCCCAGTCGTGGTGAGGGAGTTGGCGGCGTTTGCCACGTTCACGTTATGAGTGTAGAACTGGGCGTTGACACGCTGAACACTGGTAACAAAACTAGTGACGGTGGAAGTGGACACGGCACGCCACCACTCGTCCGCAACTTCGCGACTAGCAAAGGTAATCGTGTATCGATAGGTCACGTTGTCCGTGATCTGAACAGCGATTTAGCACGACATCGCAGACAACGAAGAATGGATTTTGGTACCTGTTTCACATATGCGTAGAAAACCATGATTGTATACTCAACAGGAGAGATGAGTTGTTGGCTGTAGTTGGATTGAAATGAGTCGTTCGAACACTGCACATTATATAGAGAGAAAGTTGTTTGGTCTGGTTGATCAAAACGTCTCGACCAACTAGGATTTGAAAATCAAAAGGGGGCGGATGAAGAAACACTGCCGACCCGAGCGAGGACCCAATGTAAGATGCGACGATCTGACCGTCACGTCGTATCGAGCTGGACATTCCGGCAGGCTGCATTTCCAGGCACCTGAATATTCACAAAGTCAGCAACCTCGTCGACAAGGTGTAAAAATAACAACCGGCATTCGATATAAGTAGCCTTGATCCCCCTGGACCAGCTGTCCTCAGTATCACAGTCGAGACTCGTCGATGGTGGCATGTCTATCTTACTGCAAAAGGGACAAACAACAAGACATTGTCCAAGCGTGTGCGAGACCTTCGAAGACTGTAAGAAAGCGATTGACAAGGGTTACGACTTACCTTCATCTACACATCACTCAGACTAGGCCTGAGCTTCATGTTCCTTCTGAGGTGCGAGGTACGAGCGCCAAAGAAGGGCGACTCGTGACCAGGGAGATGGGCTGATGGTGGCTCGGGATCTCCCGCATCTTCTTGCATAGAGCCGTCATGGAGCCTAACTGACAGTAGATCTGGGACAATTGATCTCCATTTTATGTGCCCTACCCACCCTCCGCTCTGAGTGCCTTTGCGTTGCTCCTGACCTTTTTCCAGTGGTACCCGCGTGCCGTCAGATTGTAGTAATTTACGTGTCCTCTTGATCTTAGTACAACCCTAGGCCTAGACAGATAGGCTCCCTCTCCCCTAGCTTAGGGACCTTACTGTAGTGCTAAAGACTTTGCTGAGACCAAAACTGATTGACAAGGGTGACGACTTACTTTCATCTACACATAACTCAGACTAAGCCCGAACTTCGGACATACTTTGTTTCATTGCCCAGCACATGTGCATACCAGTGTCGCAATTATACTCTGCAAATCCATCACTACAGCCTAGACCTAATAGGTAGGCTACCCTCTGAAGCCTTCGTGAGTTCCTGGACCTCTTTAAGTCCAGGTTCCAGATTCGCCTAGGAGGGTTCTGTCCGCAGTAAATGTGCCTCTACAAATCCATTCATGAGAAACTGACCGTCATGTGGGTTCAAAACTGTACATAGTTTTCTTCCGCCGTTATCTTGTATTCGTTTTGGAAAGGACCGCTAATGATTTGAGAGCCGGCTGACTGCGGAAACAAAAGGCGTCCCTGAATGCGAAATACCAATCCATTACCGGTATTAGCACGAGAACGAGGACAAACAATGGGACGAACTTGTGCTGGGCAGCAGTACTACAGGCGAGAGAGCCAGCGCAGAGAGCCGGAAGGGGGCCATCGAAGCGCTCAATTTTTTGGCGATCATAGTGGAGTAACGAGCAAGGAAGTGAAATAACAGATGCCAGCACATCAAAACATTGGTCAGAAGCCAAAAAATATAATTTGATGCCTGAAAGACAAGAAGAGATAATGACACGGACACCTTGTTGTGAGTCACCACAATCGACTTGCTGTCAAACTACACACGGTCTAAACAGTAAGTGCACAAACAAACAACGGCCTCGGCGCTCACGAAAGCCCGGAACATGAGTACTAGTCTTCAGGGGATTCGAAGCACGACAGATGAAATTCGGGGCAATAAAGTGCAGCATAATAAATGGTAATCTGAGGTGGTATGGGCAACCGCATGCGGTGGACAACAACGTTCGTCAAGCACACGAGTAATGCGGTACGTGTATTTGATTTTGCAGACGAACATCGCACACTGCAGGAAAGGATAAGCCAATGCACATAGAAGAACAGAACAGAGAGCCTACGAAAAAAGCAGTGTACTAAGATACAACAGCGACAACACTCAACAGCGTGGAGAAAAGGGAAAGACGCCACAGCTTGATATTCATATCCATTATGGGCACGTACATGGGTTCTGTCGAGGAGCCATGCATGTCCTATAGAGCAGATGGAGCCAGGAGGGTTAATTGTGAACTCATCGTGGCATTTGGCCGGTAGCTCTTATGTAATAATACAAGCGTTAACGTTACGTTCATCGGTCGCAAGTTGCTTTTCAAGTCATCGGCACTTGTGTCAGAGACTCAGAGTCATTCCACTTCAAAAGCAAACTATATTTGCACTATATCTTTCTCCTCATGAAAATCAGCGCGTGGAACAATGTAGTATATAGAGTGCTCTATTCACTTCTCACCACTAATGCTTGTCCTGTGTGTTTATCGCGTTTTTGCAAATCCCTATCAAACCTATGACTTTTGTGAGTGCTTTGAGATACGCAGTGCACTTGTCATAACCATCCTTTAGGAATATATTCAACTTTTTCTATCCAAACGAAACAGAAAATCTGAATCATCCAGATTGGTTGGGTCCGCTGCTGAGTTTTGGGGACTTCATATCCTACTATGACCATTCAGGTGTGCCATTCGACCTATTCTCCTTATGAACTCAGGTTTAATTATAAGTAGTAGCTTATCTCTCGGCCTGTGTGCAGACCACTCAACCCTCACATGTCTTTGCACAAACCGTCTCAAATGCTCCATCCCTCCCTCGACACACGAGACACGCCGGCGTACCCGAAGTGCCAGTCCTTCTGCAACCCGAGCAAAACAAAGTACCAAGTTCGGTTCCTACCATTTCTTTGTCTCACCCTGGAGTATCTTCTGTCGATCCAGACAATTTCATTTGGCTTGAAAATCCTGCAAGTATATAGAATATAGAATATGAGCAGGTGATAACACTGAATACACGCAGTATGTACCACCACATTAGGTCATATGCGCTTGCACACCTGTCGAACGAGGTTGCTGACTCTGCAGCACACGGGCCACCATCAGCCCATCTTCCTGGTCATGAGTCGCCCTTCTTTGGTACTCATACCTCGCACTTTAGAAGAAACACAAAGCTCAGGCTCAGTCTGAGCGATGTGTATATGAAAGTCAGTCGTAACCCTTATCAATCACTCCCTTACAGCTTTAATATATGTCTTCGAAGGTCTTGCACACGCTTCGACAATATCATGTTGCCTATTTTGCAGAAAGATAGACATGCCACCATTGACGAGTCACGACTGTGATCAGCTGGTCCAGGGGGATCAAGGCTATATCGAATGCCGGGAAATGCAGCCTGCCGGAATGTCCAGCTTGATGCGACGTGACGGTCAGATCGTCGCATCTTATATTGGGTCCTCGCTCGGGTCGGCAGTGTTTCTTCATCCGCCCCCTTTTGATTTTCAAATCCTAGTTGGTCGAGACGTTTTGATCAACCAGACCAAACAACTTTCTCTCTATATAATGTGCAGTGTTCGAACGACTCATTTCAATCCAACTACAGCCAACAACTCATCTCTCCTGTTGAGTATACAATCATGGTTTTCTACGCATATGTGAAACAGGTACCAAAATCCATTCTTCGTTGTCTGCGATGTCGTGCTAAATCGCTGTTCAGATCACGGACAACGTGACCTATCGATACACGATTACCTTTGCTAGTCGCGAAGTTGCGGACGAGTGGTGGCGTGCCGTGTCCACTTCCACCGTCACTAGTTTTGTTACCAGTGTTCAGCGTGTCAACGCCCAGTTCTACACTCATAACGTGAACGTGGCAAACGCCGCCAACTCCCTCACCACGACTGGGGTTGCGACTGAATTCCTCGGCAAGGTGTTTTTCACCTTGGAGAATAACTGGGATGGTCGCGGCTTGAGCATTATCCCACCGCTCGAACATTTTGCGGACCACATCAGCGGAAACTCGTAAGTCAGTTCCTTGCAGGATGTTCTGCATTGTTCTGATAGTGGCCCTACCACCAAAGTTTCTTCATTCGCTCCAAAGTCGCTCCTTACGACTATTGGTACTATCCCACATCGTCTAACACGACGAACGCGGTCTATGTTTCGCGCACCGAACGCACTCGCTTCACCGTTAGTCTCACCAGCGGTACTGCAGGGACCGTCATAATTGGCTCTGACAATATCGTTATCACGTTGACCACCGTTGATCTGTCGGTCAACGTCAATGCAACCAGTGGTCAGGTGATCCTTTCACTTGCTCCTCTGACGGGGTTGACTTTTAGTACCCTTTTGACCAACTTCACCGTTGGGCCTTCCTTGTCTGTCAACAATGAGACCGTGAAGGAACTCCTCTACACGGTGAATGGGGAAGAGTGGGAACTCGCTTGAACTGCTATCATTTGAAATAAAGTTGTCTTGTACTGCTACTGCTAGTCTAGTCGTTATGCATTTATGAAGGAAGGAAGGACTCGGAATTTGTTCTCGTACTGTTGGTAACGCTAGGAAGCAATCGCATTTTTTGTTGAACGCCTGCCATCACGTATGACCTTGAGATACATGAATCCCTTGAGCATCAACAGGCCTCTCTACCAACCTATGACAACAGTGTTTAGAGTTACCTCTTTCACTAACAGCCGGATGATTGATGAGTGCATCGATGCGTGTTGATCATTACGTACTATGATTGCTCTGATCGACGTACCCAGCTCGACCTAAATTGACGTTGATGGGCCAATCAAACTTCTAGTTGGGATTGATATTAGTACTTGTCTGAAACAAGCGAGTATCATGTCGTGTCGGGGTGGGCGAGGTCAGGTCCTCCTATTAGCGTAGAGCATTGCTTTGCAATCCCGTGAAGACGAAAGTGTAGTGCGACAGACGGGAGTTTATGACACAAAGAGAATTTCGCACGGTACGCGGCGTGTCATTGATATGATCTTCTAAAATAGCGACCAGTAGATCTGTGTAGCGATAAAGTTTGTTTGGATCCTCTGCGCAGGGAGCGTAAGTACGGCGTTATAGTCCGAAGAATGTACTTAGGCACATGGAGTGATTGGTTTGATATTCCCATCTTTCGCGGCATAGAGACGGAAGTCCATGAAGTTTGAAGAGTACACAGTCCCATTATAAGCTATTGCAGCACCTCCGCCATATTCATGAACGCGCGTGCGCGCATTGAAGTCCTTGCCGAAGACTTCCTTTTGAGTCTTATTGCTCATATGCACGCATTGATCACCCTCCGACGCACGCTGTTCGATGTGGTAGATATCCTTTGTGACTGGATCTACAAAGATGGTGATAAAGGCGATACTCTAAGGTCACCACGTAGATTAGTTTGAAATGCCGAGCGATTAGAGACCATGTGAAAAACATACATCTTGAGCAATAGCATCGGCTGTGATGGGGGACTCCGAAAGGCCATATGGTGCGTATTTCTGAGCCATAGTATGATAAAACGTTAAGACAGTCACCAGATGGGATGGTTGTGTGGGAGTAAGGTAGGTTGAAGAGAGGGAGTGGGAGTTACATACCAACGAAGGCTTGAGCTTGGGTATTAGTTGTAATATTTATGGTACACGCACCGTGCACGTTTCAGCATTTCTGTCACCTGAGTTCTGGCCTGACCGTTTTAGAACACGTCGATCATTTTGCACGATGAACCTCTCGCCTTTGCGCGTATGTACGTGATGTTTGGATCAAAGGCTCTTGACAAACAACTTAGTACTCCTGATCGGGAAACGATTCTGCAAACTTCAAATTTTTCTTATGTAAGCTCACCAAGCTTGCACATGTCCACTACATTGCGCATACGGTAGCAGCAGCGTTACCTTTGCATTTTGACATGAATTCAACATCTCACCAAATCCACCTGGCGTAAGTTACTGGTCTGCGAACATTCACTTATATCTGTTTCTCTGAGAAACTAGTACGATGTTTGCACAAACAGAGACAACGAATGGGCTATTTCGACTCATACGTGGTATGACTACCCCAACTTGAACAGGTTGATCTAACACTTCGCGTTCGCGACTCAGTACTCAACAGATGCATAGGCGACAACTTAATACCGATGTTTATGATGGCCGTTTCATGCAAAACAATAACATCAATCTGATAGATCGTCGGGCACACCAGGTACCCCAACGTGATGATGGAATACCATTCACCGTTGGATAGGTACCTGAGAGGAGGGGGCTTACCGGGACAATAGCTTGACTCGGGCCTTCGAAATGTCGTGACTCAGGTTAATAAAACTGGGTCAAGTATGGAGTAAGTACTTAATTTGCTCCACCGACTCGATCATGTCGACTAATGCGACTCTGTTGATCGACAGGTTAGTTAGGGTGGCGGCGGCCAAGTTCCCTCACCGATATGGTACTAGATCGTAGACTTCAATAGTATCTTTACAAAACACCTTGGGTCCCGAGAAGAAGACCGTCCTCATAGCTGCAGCATTCCCGGCTGAACAAAAATAAAGGCGTTAGGATTGATTGGGAACAACTTTAGCAACATAAAATGCGTAGGCCGCATAGACCACTGGCACCTCTGATGGGGCCCCTGACTGTCTGCAACACTACAAGCCCCTGACCTAGCACACGAAGGGGATGCGGTTAACGGAAATGAAGGGTTGGAGGTTAAGATTATGGTTTGGAGCGAGGCTTTCCACCGAGATCTGCGGCCTGTTGACGATTACGTCAGGATCACACCTTACACAGCGGGATGTGGACGTTGTTTTACAATTAATTTGTGTCACCTTGCAGTGCTTTGAAAATTTTGTCAAGAAGTGGCGATTCTCGGCACAATTGCCTCCAACCCATAGCGCTATCGCCAGCCACTGAGATTCGGAACTGAGAGTCCACGTTCAATTGGTCTGGGCCTTCACTGCGGGATGTAACTTCTTTTAACATATCTCGTAGATCGAAATGTAAGTTCGGGTAAGACTCGTGCCACACTCAGGCTCTTCCGAACTCGTGCTCACCCCTAAAGGCTGCCAGTGAGCGATTTTCCGTCCACCCTAAGGCTCGTCGCCGTAGCCGTGCGGTTTGAAACACAGAGTTGTTTTGTACATATGAAGTGGTAATGTGACAAAGAATCTGAGCGTCACAATCCTGGGGCTGAATTTATTCTGCTGAGGCGAAGTACCCTTGTGACATTGGTAGTGTGACGAGGGAACAAAAGCCTTGAATAGTACAATGGCTCATACCAAAGTCATTCCTTCACACTAACCAATGCAATGAGTCTGTGCTCGAGTCCCGTTTGTGTACATAGCCATCGTGATCTACCTTATGATGGTCAGGTACACAAATTTCCCGGGATGGTGCAAGGATTTCTGGGAAATCCACCGTCAGTCAAACATGCCAGTGATGCGAGTCGTACGTCCCGGCCAAATCTCTTTAAAAATATTTTACACAAGTTCATACTACACATGAATTCACGTACTCACATGAGCAGAGGAGATCTTCGCTGGTGTTGAGATGCGTCACAGTGTGTCTGATTCACGTTGGTCATGGAGATACCTCTTATAATATGGAGCCATTCATCCGTTTTGACAGAGGGTTTCCCAACCTCTCCTTCATCCGCTGGTGATCTGGTCGCTCCTGAACTGACAAATTGCAGTATCTTATTTAGATGCCGCCACCCCAGCCTCTCTCCCCGGCTGAAACGCCAGTTCATCACGAACTTTCACTTACTCGCAGATTAATTTTACTGTTTATGTTCTGTCTCGCCCAATTCTTAGATGCCTTCAGTAACTCAGCTCTCTTCTCTGCAATCCCTGTACTCGAGGTATCCATGGGTATGACTGACAGTCAATCCACTTGGATCATGAGCGCATTCCAGTTGACCTTTGCATCTTTTCTGCTCATCGTGCGTGGCACTGCGTGCTCATCCCATTGATTCTGACCTTGCACTTCCACGCATTGTTTAGAGCGGCCGCATTAGCGACGTGTACAACCCAAGTCAGTACTATACCGCACCTGGCAGATAGCGACATTAATGGGCTCATAGAAACTGGGTTCATTGGGGGTGTATTTGGTCTTGGTGCCATCTCGCTGTGCGCTGGATTTGTTGATGATACCATTCCGCTCATCATTCTCAGAGCGTTGACTGGAATAAGTAAACATTCCCGCTCGTCTGACGGTTTTGTCTGACGAGGATCGTTTCTCAGCTTCTTCGATGACAATCCCCTCTGCCCTGGCACTCCTGGTCAAAGTATTTCCAGAACCGCTTGAACAAGCTCGCGCAATAGGAACATTTGGAGGCTGCTCCTGCGTCGCTACCTGTGAGAATATCCCCTAGCTGATTATCCACGACTGACTTCATGGTCCCGTTCCCGTTCCATAGCCCTCGGTCTCATGATTGGTGCAATGTTTGTCCAATGGGCATCTTACCATTGGGTGTTCTGGTTTATAGCCATCGTGGCTATGCCAACGGCTCTGGCGTGTGCCTTCATCATACCGCCAGAAATTTCAAAGACCAAAGGCAATCTTGAGCCTGCAGCGGCGAAATGGAAAAGTCTTGACTTACTCGGAGTGACCATCCTAACTGGTATGAATTTTCGGCATGCTCCGCTTCGCATCCCTCACGACCTTCGACAGTTGCCTTGATTTTGTTCATCTTCGCTGTGACATCCGGCTCCACTGACGGCTGGGCATCTGCAGCAGTGCTTGTCCCGCTAATCATATCAATCATGATGGTGATCGTGTTTTTCTGCTGGGAAACACGCATACACGTGGACACAGCTGCAATGTATGTCATCAGGGATGCTTGCACCTACCACCGATCATCGGCTGATCTTGTACCAGACCACCCCGGACATGGTTTTATCCCAATTTCTCCATTCTTTTTGCCGTAGCGCTCTTGCCATACTGTTGGTGGTTCACAGTGTTCATGATCTTTATCGTCCTGTGGCAAAACGTATTTGAGTGGTCAGCAATATCATCGGCTGTACACATGTAAGGTCTCAACGGTCACTCCATGATTCCCATCATTCAGACTGTTTTAACTTACCAGGCTTCCGCTCGGTGTCGCAGCTTTCTTTATGAGTTTCACCGGATCGCTCTCTCGGATCTTCAGTCCGAAATGGATTATTCTGACAGGCCTGTTTTTTGGCATGGTCGCGACCGTATTGATGGCGCTTGGCGGGGGAAAACCTGAGGACTATTGGCCATACATATTCCCAGCTTTATCTCTAGGAAGCGCAGGGTTCATGCTGACGTATACGCACACAAAGTAAGTTCAAATTGTCGTCGTTTCCTTAACACGTTCCAATCGCTTCAATTACAGCATTGCTATATTTCAAGCCGCACCTTCGTCCATGGCAGGCACAGTTGGTGCCATCTTTAACTGCGCTCTTCAATTTGGTTCAGCAATTGGTCTCGCTGTTGCCAGCTCAATAGAGACATCCGTGGAGGCCATCCACGGGGGCTCGCATGAGTACAAAGGACGAGCCGCAGTATTTTGGTTCCTCTTGACAGTTGCCTTTATTCTGTTCATTTCAGTATCAATATGCTATGACCGCAGTACGGACCACACACCTCAACCAGAACACGGCGACCCCGGACATCCTGCTCGACGGAGCACGGACTCTGACGAAAAGCTTGACGACGCGAACGCGACCATGATCGAAAAAGCCAACCTAGCGAATCTGCGGGTGTAGGTTCTTTTTGATGACTGTTTCTTTAGACGACCATTTCTGTTGATGACACATTTATTTTCCCGTTAACGACCATACCGCGATGACCTGCAGGGTGGATGTGTTTTTTATTTCATTATTAGAGGTAGTGTAGACTTCATGCTGTATTTTTTTGAGACCCGCTACCCATCTGGCCATGGGTATATCAATCGACTGTATTGCACATGTGTGAGAGACATACAGTTGATGTACTGATCATATCACAGATATGATTTGATGCCGGACTTGGGTTGACTGGGTTGGATATGAAAACGGGTGACCAAGATTTCCTTTCAGAGCTACATAGTAAGTATTCTCTGATTGGTTAACGAGGCGTGCGTCTGGTTGGTTCCAGACACTGACTAATTTAGTTTGGTGACCCTCTATGCCTTTCGACGCTGCGTGTTCGTGGGAGGTAGAAGGTGAATTCAAGGTTGCTTAGATACAGGAAATTTCAATGTGAGCTAATGTGTAATGTTTGTATGGAGCCATTCATCCGTTTTGATAAAGGATTTCCCAACCTCTCCTTCATCCGCTGGTGATCTGGTCGCTCCTGAACTGACAAATTCCAGTATCTTGTTTAGATGCCGCCACTCCAGCCTCTCTCCCCGGCTGAAACGCCAGTTCATCATGAACTTTCACTTACTCGCAGATTAATTTTACTGTTTATGTTCTGTCTCGCCCAATTCTTAGATGCCTTCAGTAACTCAGCTCTCTTCTCCGCAATCCCCGTACTCGAAGTATCCATGGGTATGACTGAAAGTCAATCCACTTGGATCATGAGCGCATTCCAGTTGACCTTTGCATCTTTTCTGCTCATTGTGCGTGGCACTGCGTGCTCATCCCATTTATTCTGACCTTGCGCTTCAACCCATTGTTTAGAGTGGCCGCATTAGCGACGTCTACAACCCAAGTCAGTACTATGCCGCACCTGTCAGATAGCGACATTAATGGGCTCACAGAAACTGGCTTCGTTTGGGGTGTATTTGGTCTTGGTGTCATCTCGCTGTGCGCTGGATTTGTTGTTGATACCATTCCGCTCATCATTCTCAGAGCGTTGACTGGGATAGGTAAACATTCCCGTCGGTCTGACGGTTTTAGCTGACGAAGATCGCTTCTCAGTTTCTGCGATGACAATCCCCTCTGCACTGGCACTCTTGGTCAAAGTATTTCCCGAACCGCTTGAACAAGCTCGCGCAATAGGAACATTTGGAGGCTGCGCCAGCGTCGCTAGCTGTGAGAATCTCCTCTAGCTGATTATCCATGACCAACTTCATGGTCCCGTTCCATAGCCCTCGGTTTCCTGATTGCTGCAATGTTTGTCCAATGGGCATCTTACCATTGGGTGTTCTGGTTCGTCGCCATCGTGGCTGTGCCAGCGGCTCTGGCGTGTGCCTTCATCATACCGCCAGAAATTGCAAACACCAAATACAATCTTGAGCCGGAAGCAGCGAAATGGAAAAGTCTGGACTTACTCGGCGTGACCATCCTGACTGGTATGAATTTTCGGCATGCTCCGCTTCGTATCCCTCACGAGCTTCGACAGTTGCCTTGATTTTGTTCATCTTCGCTGTGACATCCGGCTCCACTGATGGCTGGGCATCTGCAGCGGTGCTTGTCCCGCTCATCATATCAATCATGATGATGATCGGGTTTTTCTGCTGGGAAACACGCATACATGTGGATAAAGCTGCAATGTATGTCATCAGGGATGCTTGCACCTACCACCAATCATCGGCTGATCTTGTACCAGACCACCCCGGACATGGTTTTACCCCAATTTCTCGATTCTTTTTGCCGTGGCGCTCTTGCCATTCTTTTGGTTGTTTACAGTGTTCCTGATCTTTACCACCCTGTGGCAAAACGTATTTGAGTGGTCAGCAATATCATCGGCTGTGCACATGTAAGGTCTCGACTGTCACTCCATGTTTCCCGTCATTCAGACTGTTTTAACTTACCAGGCTCCCGATCGGTGTCGCAGCTCTCATTATGAGTTTCACCGGATCGCTCTCTCGGATCTTCAGTCCGAAATGGATTATTCTGACAGGCTTGTCTTTTTGCATGGTCGCGACCGTATTGATGGCGCTTGGCGGGGGAAAACCTGAGGACTATTGGCCATACGTATTCCCAGCTTTTTCTCTAGGGAGCGCAGGGATCATGCTGACGTATTCACACACAAAGTAAGTTCAAATTGTCATGGTTTCACTGACACGTTCCAATCGCTGTAATTACAGCATCGCCATATTTCAAGCCGCACCTTCGTCCATGGCAGGCACAGTTGGTGCCATCTTTAACGGCGCTCTTCAATTTGGATCATCAATTGGTCTCGCTGCTGTCAGCTCAATAGAGTCATCCGTGGAGGCCAACCATGGGGGCTCGCATGAGTATAAAGGACGAGCCGCAGTATTTTGGTTCCTCTTGGCAGTTCTCTCTATTCTGTTCATTTCAGTATCAATATTCTATCACCGCAGTACAGACCACACACCCCAACCAGAACATGGCGACCTCGGACATCCTGCTCGACGGAGCACGGACTCTGACAAAAAGCTCGACGACGTGAACGTGACCATCATCGAAAAAGCCGACCTAGCGAATCTGCCGGTGTAGGTTCTTTTTTATGACTGTTCCTTTAGACGGCCAATTTAGTTGATGACATATATCTTTTTACTATTTTCCCGTTAACGACGATATCGTGATGACTTGTAGGGCAGATGTTTTTTATTCATTTCATTATTAGAGGTAGGGTAGACTTCATGCTGTATTTTTTGTTAGGCCCGCTACCTATCTGCCCATTGGTATATCAATCGACTGTATCGCATATGTGTGAGAGACATACGATTGATGTACTAAGCAGATCACAAATAGGATTTGACGGTTGACCGGGTTGAATACTTTTGGATGAAAACGGGTGACGAAGATTTCCTTTCAAGTGTTCTGCCGTGATTGGTTAATGTAAATTGCACGATTGATTACTTAATTTGGCCCCCGAAGAAGAAAGTACTACCGTTAGTGAGATCGCGAGCAGGTTCTCTTGATTCACACAGGATGTCTAATACAACACACGAACCGCAGACATTCTCTGCTGAATCGTACTTTGCAACACAATCACAACCTCCTTCACTCGACGTTGACATACAGGGCGTTCACGAATTTATCCAACGGCAACGACAGGCTAACCGATCTGTTGTGCTTGTAACGGTGAGTGTCATTATCCCAGATGCTCGCGTCATGCACTCTGAACTCGAATCAGAGCGGAGGGACCACCGTACCGCTAGAGCTCAATGTGTAAGAACGAGCAACCACCCACAGCCGCACAGGGTCACTGACCTCATGTTCACTAAATGTGCAGCGTCCGCTTCCTTGATAACTTCAGCGCCGGTGCGTGCTAAGGTTCTTTTCATTATATTCTTCTAACCATCGTGTAGGTACCCGAGGTGCAACATCTGCCGAATATTTCCTCAAAGCTGGTTATGCCGTCATATTCATGCATCGCCAGTTCAGCCTGCAACCTTTTAGTCGACATTATTCCCACTCAACCAACCCATTCCTCAACTTTCTCGAGATTGACGCTGCATTACCGTCATCCTCGACTATTGACTCGGCATTCCCGTATTCACATGACCCTCCACCTACGACACCGATGCCGCAAATTACTGTAACCACTGATGAACGCGCCAAACTCTTTTCTGTACTTCGTGCATACAAAGCAGTGCATGCTCAAGGAACCCTACATATGGTCTCATTCGTTTCCGTGAACGAATATCTTTGGTTACTGCGCGCAGTCAGTAGGGAGATGAGCATCCTAGGACGAAAGGCGATGTATTACCTTGCTGCCGCTGTCAGTGATTTCTTCTTACCGCAGCAGAGATTAGTAAGTGATCACATCCTGTCTCGGAAAACGATGTTAATAATACCCACGGCCAGTCGGAACATAAGATACAATCTGGAAAGGGCAATCTGTCCATAGAAATGGATCAAGTACCGAAGATCTTAAAGCCGCTTGTGTCAGAATGGAACCCAGAGGGGTTCATTGTCTCCTTCAAGGTAGACTCGCTTCACCTTTTTATGCTGTCGTTTTGACCAACATATCTTTCCAGCTCGAGACTGACGAGACGATTCTGATACCGAAAGCCCAACAGGCGCTTGAGCGTTATGGGCACCAGGTGGTGATCGGAAACGATCTCCATAATCGTAAGTATCGGGTTGTGTTGATATCTCCCGTAGCGCAGGCAGATGCTACAAAGAAACCGGACGGAGTCGTCGTATCTCAACCGAAATATAAAGAATTTTGGATAGAAATTGATTCGCATCAACCATCCAACCATCCCAAAGAAATAGAGGAAGACATCGTTGAAGAATTGCTTAAACGGCACAATGCGTGGATCGAGGGTTCATGAGCAGGCAGGGGTCGGTTGTATGTAATGATATATACTAGAATTATTGTCGAGGCATGTGCAAAAATCAAGGTTTTCCTCATTTTAGCAAGACTCCATCCGACTACTGTGTAGTATTCTCTGTTCTAACATATATTACCACTCGTTGAGGCAGAAGGAAAAAGATGATCTGAGCCAGGCTCGAACTGGCGACCTTCTGTGTGTTAGACAGATGCGATAACCAACTACGCCATCAGACCGATGGAACACGTTAAATAATAAAGACCCATTATGACCATCTCGTTGGTGGCCTTGAAGAGTTCCTGCGAAAGGATGAACCACCTCGCTGGTACCGAGGTTCTTGATGCCCTCGTGAGTGAACCATCCATCATGATATCGTAGTAGAGGTAGCCGATGTAGTACCCTTCGCTCACAGAAACCAAGCACCATTGCGTACATTTGAGATCGTGGGTTCCTGCGTGCTGATACATGTATTAAGATTATGAATCATCGAACTGTAGTGCGGGCTTTGCAATCTCAAAGTATCCACCACGCCAAGCTACCAGGCTAGCAATGTCACTTCGCTTTACGATCAACACCGAATAAGCCACGCGATATGACATCGCAGTGCACGGTTTCAGGCTGCAGGCGACATGTCCGACATGGGAATAGACACGATGGCATCAAACTCATGCACGGTATTGTCGATTTGCCAGAGATGGAGGTGCATCCGCGTGGCGAGGATTGCAAGGATAAAAACCTCGAAACTTTATGAGGGTATACTCAGTAAGAATCCACGAAAGAAGATGAAGTGCATACTCTTCGAGGAAGGAGTGGTATGGGGACTAGGAGTGTGAAACATCAGTGATTCCATTACATTGAAGGGTATCAGCAGGGTTAAAGTTTCACGCACATCGGGAAATATCACTGGCACAAGGACGTTCAAGGCCGAGAAAACTTTCCGAACAATGATTATCATTGATGAGCATGGACACACATGTAGGTGACTCACACAGACCGCATGCGTAGTAGAATATATTATGCTTCACCAAGGTAGCATATAGAGGGTATCTAGTCGGCCGCCAGTTCCGTATGGCACGTATGAGAGTGAGGGAGACCAGTCCTGGGGAGAGCGTTGGTCAGCGTGCATTTATAATGTATGTCGGTTCCCGGCGACATGTACCCAGTTGAAACACAAACAAGAGAATGAATGGCAGGTATAATTGGACATTGCTCGAAGTCCGGTAACAACCTGTGATGCCTGTGATGCCTGGGGTCGTGCTAGTCGAAACTGTGGGAGTGGAGTGAATACGTGCCAATGCTAGTGGGGGAAGATGAGAGCACAGACAATATTGAGAAGTGGCAATAGCACTAAACCAGATGCCGATGAATGATACAATGATGGCCTGACCAAGTTAGCGATCACAAGCTTGGGTGTGGTGAGGGCACGAGGCTCACAAAAAAGGTCGACAGCATAGCTACGAGTACGATTCTATTGTTGCTCCAGAGCGCATATGTTCTGAGCACAAAAAAGCCTGGACGAATTAAATGAGGAGCACGTTTGTGTCGCGAGGAAGGAGAAATACATTCAGAGCAAGTGAGTGATATCACTGCAAAACCTAAGTGGAAATAATAGCGCTCAGTAAGAACGTGGGTGTAGCATGTGCCATACACGCACATGAGTAAATACTGATGAACATCTTGCATGCCTAGCCAGGTCACACAGTAAGTGTCGTCATCAGTGGAAGTCTGCTGCACGTTCACATACCTTGGAGTTCTCATTCGGTGTCAAGGTCACTAACCACAGCATGTCAATTCAGTATCGGGGGATTTGTGCTGGGAACGAACGCACGACATATGTCCGCAGCGATGAGGAAAAAGGGTACATATCGTGCAATGACATAGAGGCATTTTACCTTGGTCCAGCGCGACCGAAGTAGGAATGTCCACTTTGAACAGATTGTTTCAATATCCAAAGCAAGGCATCCCGCGCCACAAGCACATTACTTGCCTCGTCGTGAAGTGAACAAATATAGTCATAGGTCTGGATTAACAGGTTAACAGGTTTGATGGTGGACAGGAATAGATCGGGACAAGCGTACCCAGAATGTAATCAATGCCGCTGAGTCGTCACGTTAGAGGCAGAACGAAGATATTCAGACAGCACGCACTGCATATGTACTAGTGACCACCCATGGTGTATCAGTTATTATCTTGCTATTGATTTTAAGAAAGCGACAAACCGCCAAGTACTGCAAAATCCTGATTGCTGCAATATCGCCAGCCGAATACTCCATTTACATTCGTTTGAGAGGTGGCTTAAGAAGATGGGTTTTACGCCCACAGCATGCACCTTGCTATCTCTTATGAGTAACTCGGAACTAGTCAGGGACCGATCAACGTGGTGGCGGTAGTGTGCTCAGAGGCGCAAACGCAAAACACACTACTATATATGGTTAGGTTGAATCAACTCAGACTCAAAGAAGGTGCCACTTACATTATGTAATTCGTACAACGCAGCCACCTTGGAGAGACCTGGCACTGTTACGAATTGCATAGGCTCATACCAGAAACTACCATGGAAGAACTCAGGCTTAGTTCGAAAGACTAACGAAAAACATCGCCGTAGGCCAGAGAAGGTTATTCGAAATGTTACTAAAGGCGCTCGGGGAATAAAAGACGACCGTGGATGGAACCATGCACTGATCAAGAAATGATTGTGGATGAGTCAAAGATACGCACAACAGATCTATCTTGATAAGGTCCCAAGCTCCTCCCATCACCCTGTCCGAGTGGGAGATATCTCTTTTATGCGCACTGGAGCCTCCGGATCCGAGGACATATCATTTTCGGCAATACAGTGTGCGCCGTGACTCTATGAAAACGGCAAAATGTTTTCTCAGTCTTGTGTGTGCAGTGAAGGTGCTTATAAGTTGATAGGATAGCGAGTACAAGGACGTTGCGAGCAGCTTGGCAGTATCAGAATATTGGGATGGATCCCACAGGTATCAAATCGACTGCTGCCCTGAAATGGCTTCTTTCTGATGGATGCGCGACGGGTTTGATCTGGACCTGTGAAGCCGTTAGCTTATTCCAGTCACGGTCTGCATAGCCCTCCGCGAGGCACATCCAGTGAATATGCTTGATGCTTGACATTCGACAGCCTGGTAGCACTCACAAAGTTATCATTGCTTTTTGAACTTGAGGACTTGAGGACTCGCAAGTTGCACCATACGCTGGGCGGCACGCACTTTTCAGTCAATATGACGGCTGCGGGCTTGGATCAACTTCCCGTATGTACCGCTCAGGTGTATAAACCTAACTTCGCGTCGGTCTCTACGTAGAATTGCGGCTACAATTGGGCTACAAGGATAGTTGGAAATTCGGAATCCGCCGAATATCACATGTGAGTTTGAAATTGATTTCAAGTTTACCTGGCAACAGCTCCACAATACCAAGATTGAACGGTGCGCATTATGAATGTAGCGGCAAGCATTGCAACAGGGCGTGTACTTCTGATTAGGATGATCAAACAGGAAATGCGCTTGCCAAGTCCCATCCTAGAACTACCATGGTCCAACAATGCATACGCCCCTACTACAAACGCCCTTGACAATTTCCCAGGTCTCTTCTGAGCCCTCCAGGAATTCCTTGGATCTCGCATGCAGGAAAATCAGGGCTTCTGCGAAGACGCTGTCGTTATTGCTCACACGTTAGAGTCTTTGATTATAATCATTGGGCTTAATCACAAGTTAAACGTTTGTCAAAACATCTCGCCAGATCGCACCCCATGACAAAAAGGGTTCCTATAAGTCAAGTAAGTACATCTCAATTTTTACGACCAATATATCGTTTACAACATAGAAATACACACGAGGGCCTCAGAGCCACTCGCGTGCCGGTTCATATGCCAGAGATGGAGGTGCATGCGCGTAGCGAGGATTGCAAGGATCAAAACCTCCAAATTGTGTATTGGGGGTGTTGTTAGTGGGAATTCGCAACAGAATTTGTGCATACCCTTCGGGGATGAAGTAGGATACGGACTGGGTGTGCGCAACATCAATGATTCAATCACACTGAAGAGGACTATTCACGCACGTAGTCAAGCAGCTTTGGAACAATGACATTTATGGCCGAGAGAACTTTCGAAAAGTTAATCAACACCGATGAGCACGAAAACATACGAGTTCTGACTCACGCAGACCGCATGCATAGCAGAATATGTTATGCTTCAGCAAGATCGCGTACAGAGGGCCTTTGGCCGACCGCCAACTCTGTACGACACGCACGAGTGTGAGGGATATCAGTACCGGGGATAGCATTAGTCAGCGCGTGTCTGCAACGTACAGTCCAGTTTCCGGCTGCATACCCAGTTGGAACACGAGTTAAGACAATAAACTGCATGAAGAATGAGAAACTACCAGAGCTCCGGTGACAACCTGTGATGTCTGGGATGACGCTAGTCGTTACTGTGAAATTGAAGATAACATGGGCGGATACCAGTAGGGGAAGATGGGAGCACAAACCATGTGAGGTGGCAATAGTAGTCAACCAAATGCCAATAGCCTGACTCATTCATCAACCATGATATCAGGTGGGCTGATGGCATAGGACTCACAAAAATGGTGGACAGTATGGCTGTGAGTATGATTCTATTGTTGTTCCAAAGCGCGCATGTTCTGAGCACAAACAAGCCTGAATGAATCAGATCAGAAGCACGTGTGTCGGAGAAAAGAAATATACATTCAGAGCAAGCGAGTGATATAAGTCTGAGACCTGTGAGAGTAAAGAGCAACACTCCATGCGTGAAATACCGTGGACGTACACGCGTAAATATCAAGCATTGCTGGTGAAATATACGGTAAGCATCATTCGTCATTGGGCAAGTGTGCTACACGTTCACATACATCGCGGTCCTCGTTCCTTGAGAAGTTCACTGAGTACAACATGTTAATTCATTAAATCGGAGGGTTGTATGCTGGGAATGAACGTACTATATAGGTCCGCGGCGACGATGAAAAAGAGGACATATCGTGTAATGATATAAAGGACTTTTACCTTGGTAAGGCGTGACCGAAGCAGGAATGTCCACTTGAATAATATATTACCAGTATCAAAGCCACGTACTAACGGAAGAAGGGCATCACTCACCTCTTCGTGAAGTGAACAAATATAGTCATAGGTCTGGATAAACAAGTTTAACGGCAGACGGAAATAGATCAGGATAAATTTACCCAGAATGTCGCCGCTATCAACGCTGAGCTGTCGAGTTAGAACGAACAAGATGCAATCCAGACAGCACGCACTGCATATGTACTGGAGGCCACACACCATAAATTTGTGATCATCTTGCTATCATGTCAAGAAAGCGACGCACCGCTGAGGGCTGCAGACTTCTGGCCGTTGTAATGTCGACCGACGGATATTCCATCTGAATTGGTTCGAGGGGGAAAATAATTGGGTTTCGCGCACACACTCGTCCACTTCCTTATATACTATACAAGCCGAGAACCCATCCAGACCGGGGTATATGCGGGGATACTGCTGCTGAGGATCATCATATCATCTTCGTGATGGATCGTTTCACTGGCTGAATTACAGTTGATGTGGTCACAACTGCACCAGGTTGTGCACAGCTCAATGAAAGTTACAGTTGATGCCAGAAACATCGGCAGTTTCAGTGACACTGATAACATAACAATGAAACTTCTATTCAGATGTAACACGCCCAATGAGGCAGATGATTGGACATAAATTGATTATCAAAGTGGATTCTGACACTTACATATGCGTACTCATTGTGCTGATTCTTGACCCGCTTGGAATTCAACGGAATACCGTGATCAGGCCTTGAAACACACAGCTACCTCGGAGGGACTGTGACTAGTGACTGGTGTCGTGATTATCTGACGAATGTCGTGCCGGTGAAAGCATGTTATTTACATGCTACATTCATGTATCAGGTCGACTAGCCGGTGAGGAGACCAGGAACGGAGAAGGCTCTCCTAAAGGAACGTATTAGAAGACGTAACTGTGGATCATGTAAGGTCGAATTCTGAATCGGAGCGTATTGTGATCGGGGGTTTCTTCACTGACTTTGGGTATCTACAAACTGTTCACTTGTAGAGTGGGCACTGCAATATCAAGATTGGATGGTACGTACCAAGTAGTGGCAAGCAGAGCTACCAGTCGTGCTCAGACCGATTCTTGACGAAGTGCACTTGAAGTCGCACTTGCTTCGAGATATTTGGGCGTCGGGACGAGAACATACAATCTTCATTGTCGCACCAATCAAGCATCGTACTTGAAAAGACCGTGTCGTCCGGGAACGCGGGAGGATGCTTTGTCTGCGTCACAATGCTTTGAAAGCCCGAGCAAAGATCTCAGCTTTCCTAGATGAGTCAAAGCGATACCCATGGGCCATGGGTATATCCTTCAAGACTGGTGTAATTGTATTATTAGGCGCAAGACCGTCGACCATTGCAAGCATCAGAAATATCTTCGGAATATCGGCGGCCGGCTTTGTCACTGCTAGTATGCACTGGTCATGCGAGGTGTTCGGGATGCACGGTCTGCCTATCGGAGTCATGCTTGGATCAAGCCGCAGCTAACTTTGAGTCGGAATTGGACGAATCAATGTAGTGGGTCTAACCAAGGTCTAACCAAATGCACTAGCTTACTATTGTGATCGGACAAAGTGGTCCAAGTTATTGCTCAGCATGCCCGATTTGTACTTATACTTCACAAGGACTGGCCATGTAGCACTGTCATAGTTGTGACGAGTTTTAAAAATCGACATCCATGAAGAATCCGTGTCTGTCCGTCCGTCCACTAAACCTCTAGTCCCATCATCATCGTGCTCGCCATCATCGTTATTGTCGCCACCGTCGTAGTTGCTCACGCGTTCATATCCGAATATTATACATAGCCCTATTGTGATACCCTAGACGCCTCAGGCTGCACAGCAAGCTCTCACCACTATGTCCAACTCACCTCCGTCCGTAAACAGTTCCTATGACCCTACAAACGCTCTCGACGACATCCCAGGTCTTCACTGGGCCCTCCATGAGTTCCTTCAATCTCGCATGCACGAAAGCGAACGATTCTGCGAGCAAAGTGATCCAGAAAAGTACGTATTTCCGTCTCCATCACTCCCACAAGAGAAGCTGAGATCAATGCAGGCAGAGATTGTACTTTGCGACTGGATTTGGGCTTATTCAATGTGTGAAGGGTCTCATGTCTTTTGAGGATAAGGTTCGTGTTGTAATATTGCTGCCAGTATTCATATACTAATATTAACTCATAATTTGGGCTTTAGGATCTCTTGGCTGCTATCAACCATACCAAGCGCGGCATCGCTGTAGCTTCCGCACATCGCAAACGCCCAGCCAGCTTCGCAGGTCGTCTTGCAGGGTATATCGTTCCCGCATTCAGTACTAGCGGTACAGAATGGATCGCCGGTATGACGCCTGTGGAACGTCATGCTGAACTCGTCTATGCAGAGAGTCTCTATCAAAAGGTGCGTCGACTGGCAAGACCGTGTGTCTTGGGTGGTGTACGCGTTTTTGAGGGTTAGCTGATGCTGTAATAGAGTCTTCTTGGGATAGTCTATTCAGGCGATTGGTTAGCGTTTATCCGTGAGGTGTACGTGCTCCGTCATTTATCCCTCTTTTCTCGCTAATACCTAAGTACCGCAAACGCCCAGACTCAACATGCGCACCACTATTTCCATATACCGTCAACTGGGTAAATGGATCGAGACAGTCGACGCGGCATACGCTCTCGCCCACCCCGAATTACTAGCTGCCATCTCAACAGGAGCGGATGTCGAAGAAACGCCATCACAGTCAAGTAGCACGAGTTTTGCAAGTGCTAACTCATCCTCCATCGCAGATTCGCCTCCCCCTTCCCCCAAACACACATCTACGCAAGATACCGCCTCCCCACCATCCGTCACACACCCATACCTCCCTTGCCCATCTATAGACCCTCATTTCCGATCTGGTGTATACCTAGGTCTCGGTATGTCCCATCTCGTGCTCAGTATGATGCCGGGAAAACTGCTCGCTCTGGTGGAATTGTTTGGATATAAGGGCGATAGGAAGTTTGGGTTGGAGTTGTTGGAGAGGGCTGGGGGGTGGGGTGCGAATGGGAGAGTGGTCGAGAAGGGTGAGTGGTTCCGGTCCCTGATCATGTTTTGGTATTGGGAGTTGGGGAGCAAGAAGTACTAATATGCTCGCCTACAGAAGCAGAAGGCGTCCGACGTGCAATCTGCGATATGTCGCTACTCATTTTCCACCTCGTCCTCTCGGCGTTCACGTTTGAAGGCGTCGATGTGCGCAAGGCTGCGAGAATATTAGAGTGGAATTTGAAGAGGTATCCGAATGGTGCGTGTTCTGTTTTGGGAAGTTGTGTGTTCTGATGAGTAGTTGTGTTTTCTCTCTCCTTCCAAACCCCTCTTCGATCCCCACTAACACCAAATAGGCGTCTTCTTCCTCTTTGGCGCAGGCCGCCTTGCCCTCGTTCGTTCCCAACCCTCAAAAGCTCTCACCTACTACGCACGCGCTGCCCAAGCTCAATCACAGTATCGGAATTTACACCATATTTCGTGGTGGGAGAGTGCGGTTGCTTGTCTAGGGCTCTGGAGGTGCGTGTTTTTGTGTACAGGGGTGATGGGTATGTGCGCGATACTGATGCTCGTCTTGTGCAGAGTTGCGGACAGTAGATTGTGGTGGGGGAAACTTGGAGGCGAGGCTACTGTGGGTTTCTATTTCCCCTCTTGTGTGTCTGTGTTCATTTGTTTACAAATTTTTCCCACCACCTCGGTGCACTTAGTGGTCCAAAGCGACATATACATACGGCGAAGCAGCATGCCTAGCTACGCTCGGCAAGCACGCAGAAGCGAAGAAGCTTATGGAACGCGTCCAGGGGCTGAGGCAGAAAATCGCGGGGAAGAGCATTCCTATCGAGGTACGTCCTTGTTTGGTGTCTCCCCCTCCCTTTCTTCTCGCTATCCACCTCAAAACTCTTCTCCACCTTACCAAAAAATAACTCAATGCTAACCAAACATACAGAAATTTGTCGCCCGCAAAGCCCGTAAATATCTAGCCCAATCTGACACCCTTCTCCTCCCAGCCCTCGAGCTTGCTTATGTATTCCATGCGATCGCGCATGCGCCCAGGGAGGTTATTGTGAGGGAGATGATTCCTGCTGTTGGTGAAGCTTTGGGAGTGCTGGGGTTAGCGCTTTCGTCTGAGGATGAGGGCGGTGCCAAGGCAAGTGGGGCTAAGAAAGGCAAGGACAAGAAGCTGGAGTCGCGGAGTGGGTATTGGGATGACGTCTGTCTTGCGCGTTTCTTGGAGGGCGTGTGTTGGCGATTTGTTGCATATCCGGTGCGTTTACCTTTTTTGTGGTGTTTGTGCCTTTGGGGTCTTCCCCTTCGCTCTGAGTCTATCCTTGTTGACACACATCCCTCTCGTTACAGGACCCGGATGCTGAACTTGAGCCTGATGAAAAGATCCCTGTCTCACCAGAGGATGCGCGCACGTACTCGGAGCGCGCGTTCCGCGCTGTCTTTGAGCACGGACCAGACATCGAGTTGGACCATTATATCGTGTATTACGCACGTGAGTCGGTCTTGTTCTGTCATTCGGTGAGAAATTGCCGACTCTTTTATCATAGATTTCGAGTATGGTAGGCTGCTAGCGCGATCAGGCGACAAGGACGGTGCGAGGAAGCATTTTGATCTTATTTTGTCGGGAAAGCCGCTTGAGGTGAATGCTGCGGGACGAAAGGTACGGATACGATTCGTTGTTTAATCGTGTTGCTGATATATGTCACTTTTTCAGGGTAAATACAGTTTAGAGGTACGAAAATAGGGGTGAACGAATGTGACTGATACTTACGCTCTTATTGCAGAACGCACTTCACGTGAGGACGAACGCGGCGCTAGAAGCACTAGACCAGAACCGACTGTTGTGATACTTATTGATACCCAGGACACAGTTGGAAGAGATATATATTCGTATATCTATCGATACGCGCTGACTTTCCGTGTATTTTCTGCTTGCTTACTATTGGGCGATACCTGTATACTTACTTATATATCATCTGTTACGCCTGATGTCCGGCTGAGCTGGATACAACCTGGACCTATGACTGTACCTTTAAACTCTAATGTCATTTACTGACACCATACATCCACACTTACTGAAATCAGTGGCATATCGAACACTCTGAGCTTCCAAGGTGATATAAAAAGCAGTATCCTTCAGAGCCGAGAAGATGATGGAGTGCAATGGAATGAGCTCAGGCGCTGAGACGAGGAGAGTAGTTGTTATTAATATTGTTGATGTACGTTAACGTGTCTATTCTTTGACGTGGACACATGCTAGCGCTAGCGCTGATCAGCCGAAGTAGTAGTCGTCGATATGTTTCACGGCAATTAAATGTTAGCTAGTCCCCAATTGGCTGTCGGGCCCGACACCGAATCCGAGTCTTTAATGTTCCCGTTTTCGCCATCATGTACAGCTTGTGTGATGGCAAAGGAAGATGTTGGAATATTAATTCCTGTATGAAATCCACCTGGTTACTTATATGAAAGAACCCACTGCATGTCTGTGCCATGCGGACTGCCACTTCGAAGTTCTGCCAGAAGAATTACAGAGTGCCCAGGGCGGTCACCAGATACCACTTGGGAAGATTTTCCAAATTTAGCTATTGGGATGATGTCGAGTACGTACTTACTTTGCACTAATATAGCACCTCCGGTCCTCGACTTGAGATTGTTTGGTATGGCTCACCTCAAGCTCACCTGGAGTTGCGACTACCAGTACGAACTTGAGATTGCGGCGAACTCGAAGACCATGACGAATATGGACGGTCAGGCTGTGAATCGTAATTACGCGTAGTATTTTAAAGTGAATCTTGATCTTGATAGCTTATCCGAAGCTGCCTCGGGCACATCTATTTCATACCCGATCCTGCCGCTGCGGCACAACTCCAGTTAGTAGAAATGCCTTGCCTTGCGTATATCATGATGGGCCACACGTTCCAATCCCTCTCACCCAAAGGCCATTTTTCCTCTCAAAATGTCTCCCTCTGTGTTTGAAGCTAGTCAGCTTCGTGAGTCCCTCTATGTTTTTTGTACCGTCTTTCAACTCAGTGTCTGGTAGCCAACAAAAATCCCGTTGGTCCGTACACCTATGTGCCTACACAGTGGATATGTATCCTCGTGAGTTGTCTTGTCCAGACGTCTCGCATCTACCTCAAATCGCTCCCTTAGTTCCTGGTGTTATACAGCATTTCAACTAGTATGTTTTTTTTTACTATCGACAGTGCACGATCATGACTTGATGCTTTCAGTCATCCACTTCAGCCAGGCACTCAAGTTTAGACTCTGGTGGATGCTTCCAACGGCGACTTTTGCCGGTGTCCTCGAAATACTCGGTTGGAGCGCCAGGTTATGGTCTAGCCACAGTCCCAAGCTTTTGACGCCTTATGAGATGCAGTACGTGTTCATCTATTAGAAGTACCTATTCGCAGGCCCGCTCAACCGTTTCCACTGCAGGCTCGTCGGCACCATCATCGCACCTACTCCCCTTGTCGCTGCCAACTTTATCATCCTTGGCAAGATAATCAACCAAGTTGGACCCCAGTACAGCCGTCTAACCCCCAAGTTATGTTAGTGCCATTGCCCTGATATTCCTGGCAGTTCGGTTGCTGATCTAGTGCAGATACCATCATTTTCTGTTGCTTCGTTAGTACCATACATTCAAGCTGTGTTCGTTATTCATATCTTCCCAACTCCTAGGATGTTGTCTGTTTGATTGTACAAGCTTTTGGAGGCGCATCCGCCGCGCACGCCGTTAGCCAGGATTCAAGTGCTGCGATGGTATGTACATCATCCATTATTTCGTGTAACAATCTCATCATAGAGATAGGGCGCGAACATCATGCTGGGAGGAATTGCGGCTCAGCTCTGTGCGTGACAAGGGTCTCAATTCTCTCACTCACAATCCTTACCTTTGCTCTCTAGTTGCTATCGTGGTCTACGTCACTTTGGCATCCGAATTTTTCTTGCGTTTGAAATCAAATTCGCCCTTCCGTCACGTTGAACAGCCCCGCGTATTGGAGAAAGGTCAAAGTGCTGTGAGCAAGAACTTGCGAGTTCTGATCTGTGCCATGGCATTCTGCACTCTCTGCATCTTCATTCGGTTAGTGCCCAAGACGTCTTATCAGGGTCATTGATATACTCAATTCATCCTTAGTTCTATTTACCGTACTGTAGAGCTCGCCGGTGGGTGGTTCGGGCCAGTGATCACCACTCAACACTACTTCGGTACGTTATCATCCGTTCTCGCCACGAATAAGTTTATAATATACTTTATTATCGATAGATTGGCTCGATGGAGCCATGGTCACTCTCGCTATCTACAGTCTCAATTTCTTTCACCCAGGTATCTGGCTGAACAAGGAAGTCCCAACTGGTCATGATTTAGAACAAGCAGCCGATGAAGAAGAAGAAGCTGACGAAGAAGCTGCGGCTTAGGTTTTAACGATTACATGCTTATATCGGTTCTGCTCACCATTTATCTATGAGCTTGTTGGCACTTCTCGGATTACTCTTACTCGGACGGTTATCGGCATGTTACCTTACAACGATGTCTGTTTTGGCACCGCTTATCCCTACTCAATGATGTAGATAGATGCATTGTTGACGTTCTATACCCATCGTTCTTACTGAAGCGGAAGTGCTGAAGACTTTAAGTTTAAAGTTAATTGAATGTGGCTGTGCCCAGAAGAGATGATGTCATCTTCGGTACTTCTGAAACTTCCGCTCATCCATGTCGCTACCTTGCATATCCGCTAGCAGTCATGTTTTATTATACTCTTCTCGACTATTTTCACAACTACTGTCACTCAAAAAGCCAAGTGAAGATCCACATTTCATCCATTTATCATTTTACCATGCTCCGTAACTTCATCAAGAGTATTGTCAACTCATCGTTGAGTTGCGCAGAAAAGCTACGTGATAGAAAAAAGGCAAGTAATTGAACTCTTGGCTATCACAAATTTCTCATCCTCGCTAGGCTCGATTGGAGTTTGGTGTTCACAGTCGTCCGTGCAGGGGGACCGTGCTATCGGTCTCTCCTACACCCCTTCCTACCCCAACTCATCACTTCTCAAACACCGACACTCCTCTGTCCTCGATTATAGATACAGAGGATGCTGTTTGTCGTGTACAAATGCACTCTCGGATCGGAACACCCACTCTCGAAGGCATGCCCGATGAAATACAATGCCATATCCTCGGGTTTCTCTCATATAATGAAATTATACGATGCGCTTCGGTGAGTCATTGATTCATCCCCACCCTTTGATCCAATGTACTGATCCGCCCTTTACAGACATGCCTGACACTATACAACACAGTCAAATGCTCTGTTGAGCTACAGTACATCATCGAACTCGGTGCTCAACGGCTGATCGAAGTACATCCACGGTCGCCTACAGCCTCTCTAGCAGACTGCTTGAGCATCCTCAGAAAAAAAGCAAACGCATGGAACAATTTCAGGCCCATTACTACGAATGCGTTTCGCGCCAAAACCTTGGTCGACTTAAACTCGGTCATTCATCGAAACATCATCTCCTGTACGCTGTCGGTGCACGTCGATGCTGCGTCCAACGCTGTGGATATCAAGACCAACAGCACGTGTACCACCAAAGTCGTGATGAATCACAATTCGGTTCCTCATACGTACAGGTACATGGACGAGTCTCAAGATATCGAGGTCATCGTAACGTTTCCGATCGATGTGGACTCTGATGGCTTCAAGTACCGAATATCCTTCCGTTCGATATCAACGGGGGAGGAGCATCCTTTGTCTCATGGATCTTGTGTGGTGGGTGGTAGAGCTGCTTGCAGCGAAGCTCAGTTCATCAAAATCGCCGTTGCTGTTTTCGATGATCGTCTCGCAGTCTATATTGCCGGGCTCGACGAAAATAGGGGCCCGTGCTGGTCGCTGCACGTCTCGAGTTGGCAACGACCTGGTCAAGCTGATGTGGGTGTCTTTTTCTGTCTTTCGCTGCTGGTTCAATCTGGACATTTAATAGGACTTATGTGTTATCGGCGATGGAACTGAGTTGCTGGACATACGTTTTCTTGTGAAGGAGAAACTTATAGCTCTTTCGACAGATGGTCATATACACCTCTACGACACTGAGGATCCGTCAAAGGCGCCGCGGCTTCATGCAAGATTCATGATGCCCGTCCATGGCAAGTTGGGCGTATTCGATCACCCATCAATCTTTCATAGTGCCACAAGCTGTGCAGACCTCGCAGTACCAGTCAACCACTGGATCTGGGCAACAAACCCTGCAGATCGAGTCATATCAGTGACATGGGCCGATCCTTCGTCGATTTATATCGTATCTGCTCGCATATTTTTCATGGACGTTCCTCCGACATGGTTTGACGCGACGTCAGAAGATGGACGGTCAGTCAAATGGTCATCGTGGGGTCCACAAAACTCTCGTCTCCCTGATGAAAGGTTCGGCATGCGAAGGCGGTGCTTTTTTGGAGTGGGAGGATCCCGTGTTGTATGGGCTGGTCCTGTCGCGAATCGAAGTGATTCAGCGTTCCGGTTATACATGACTGACTTCAATCCCTCGGTTGTGGCGCGTGGTATCGGAAAGGTGATTCGCGAACCTACGACAGCGGTAGGTCTTCCATCAGACATGCAGGTGTCGACGTACCTCCCTTTCGTGGAGGTGGCTCATGACAAATTTTTGGATGCTCCTCTTTGGGACATCAAACTCGACGAGGAGACGATGGTGGTGTTCACCCGACCAACAATTGAGTCTGTGAGTGTATTTCTGTCTGTCTGGCTCACGAAGTTGACCATCTCACTTGATATATCAGGATTGGAAACTGCGGGCTGACGTCTGTGAAATGTAGTTGTGGTCATGAGTGTTTACGAGAGATTGTCCATCATTATGCCATTGAAACCTACCTGTCGCGCACCTTGATGTATACTAAGGGCACAATCTAGGGTCATGTATCAGTCGAATATACCATCTCTGTCGACAAACCTATTCGAATTTAAGATGAATTGACTGACTATACTCGAATGCTAATTGTCGTCCGCTCAATCGTCGCCGCTCCCAGCGTCAACTGCGCTCGTAGGCCAACCAGGTCACAGGTTGTACTGGCAGGTGATGCGCCACTTGATGGAAAATCAGAGTTGGTGCCAGAAGCATTCAATCATTTTTATGAGAACCACGAGCGTTACCCTATTTGACCGCAAAACACAGCTAGCACTGGTCCTTTGCTTGAAGCTTGCCTTTAAGTTTGAAACATTATCAATCCTTGAAACGCCATCAGTCCTCTGAACGCGCACATTTCCACTCAATCTCTTTTGATGTTTTGGATGCACGCTTCTTGAAATAGGCCGACTTCAATATGCGCGTGATGATATCTGAAGGAAGCTAACGCGTTCTCGTCTGTGTGAAGTGGAGATATCCAAAGGTCAGTGGGGGTGAAGAGGACCATAGTCTTCGTTTGACTGATGACTGATCTGATGGATATCGTTGGAGCAAAGGCCATTCTGTTGAACCCGGGAGGATGTAATGTATGTGACCGATGCGGATTCAAAGGTAGTGCGCCGTCATCTCTCTGTCGATGAACTGATTCAAATTAGTCGGTGGAGCAAATTATGTACTTGCCTCGTAGTTGACTCAGTCCCCTTGGCTCGAGTCACGACAGTTTGAAGGCCTGTCGTCTGGTAGGGGTAAGCCCTCCCAAGTTCCGTTCAACGATGAATAGGAATGATGGTAACCAGTTTGCCTGGGTGGATTTGGAGAGATGTCGAATTCTTGTCAAAATGCAAAGGTATGCTGCTGCTACGGTAATCGCAATGTACTGGTCAAGTTGTGATCAACCAGACGTGTGCATTGTGCAAGCTTGGGGAGCTTCAGGAGTCGAAACCTTGCGGATTGATGATGATTAGTAAGTCGTTAATTTTTAATCTTTGGAGATTGACTGTAATGGCAGGGTACAGTGGAATGCTATATAGAATGATTGCCATCATCAACAGAAGCCGGTCTGAATTTCTGAAAGACCATATGCAAATTGGAACTGGAGGAAAATATTGCTAAGAAACACCGTGAGAACGGGATGCCGCCGGCACGTTGCAATTCGATGGAACACGGTCTCGACACGCACGTCGCAAGTTCGAATGCCTTGGGCCTCTGCACGTCCATCTTACGCTTCTCTCTATGGAGTCCGAATATAGATCATAATCCATCTCTTCGTACTTGATGCAGTTCAAGGGCAACGTAGTGCACGAGGATTTACGCTTACTAGTAAAGTAGCTGTCCATCATTACAGTCCACGTCCATCTCCTACGAGATGCGCCTCATATCTGGCGATTCCCTCTTCACGCTGTTTCTTTCACCATTGACTCGACAGTCACTCTGCACTTTGTTCAATCGACACCACCCTTGCCTCAAATACAACCCCTCCCTCTCGTCGAAGCTCCACATTCAGACGTTTACTGCAATGGTCCGCTCCTGTAACCTCTGCCATTCTGCAGCCTCAAGCCGCACTACATGTCCTTGGCCAAAATATGGTCCTGTCACCTTCAAGGCGTCCCTACACTATGGACCTGCCAACCTATCCATGCAGTGCCACCTATAATGGATATTCCTTTTCCGCAGGGTTCAGTTTCTTATCTCTCGGCGGTGAGTGAATCCGGTAGCAGTTACAGCTTCCTCAATATTTCGTTCGTCAATCATCCTTCGCCGAACGAGAATACAATTGGTTGCATTCTTGCCTTATTCTTTCTTATCCTCGCAAGTCGCTGCAGGCAAGATCATCCTCCCCCCATGGCACTGTCAGCTCAATTGGAGCAGTTGTATGTAATCATCCGTCTTTTCTTTTCGCGCCGTTTTCAGCGATATAGACATTTTTTTTGCCTTTGTTATTACCTCACAAAATATACTCAATTCTACATTTTGCCTTTGCGTGCTAACTGAGTAGTACGATACAAGTCCAGGAGCAACAATCACTCTGAGGCTCGCACGTCCCTTTCAACGTTGGCAGACCACTTTCGCCGCAAACTGTTCATGCCATTCTCTACATTAGCACAGATTCTTCTGCTAATCCTGGTCGGTGATCTCCATTGCCGGCGCTTGTGCGATCACACCAGCGTCTATCGTGCCGAACATCCACCGACAATATGGAAATACACGTGCAGCGTGACCTGAACCCTAGGCCTCAATCTCCCACTCAGCCGAATTCTATCTGCAGTCCCCATATCTTTACCCCCATCTCCCCTTCCCATTCATCACGTCCACCACTCTACCCATCCTCGATCCTCATCATTTTGCTGCGTCGCAACATCATGTCCGGTAGCTCAGAAAGCCGATATATCAGACTTGAAGGCGAGTCTCTCCATATCATCTCCGTATCTGTTTTGTGATCTATCTACAGTCATCAGCGGAAAGAATCTTCAAGTCCCGTCCGGGCGCATTCCCGCTGGCATCTACGTGTCCATCAATGTCGACTCGAGGAGACGCTGGAAATCGGCCATCAGTGTGTTATCATCTAATGAATCTGTAGCGTGGGGGGATACTCTAACTCTGTGAAGTCCATGGAGATCTTCTGACGTGATGCGAGAACTGATCGTCGGTTTATAGACCATCAAATGCCTCGCCTGCATTGTCAATAGAGATCAGGGCGTCCTATGAGCTTGGTCGAATGCTAGGCAGTGGAGAGGTCATCGGGAAACTTCAAATGTCGTGGGATGAGCTACTCGATCATGGAGATCACCCATTTGGTGAGTGATTGGCTTCTCATTCATGCACATATGCTAACATCCCGTAGATCTTTCCTTCCCAGCCGTGCGCGGTGTTCAACCTTTCATCACACTGAAGGTTGCTGTTCTACATGCTTGGGACAATCAAAATGGCGCACTGTTTGATGTGAGCGACCGCGGACTCCGTCCTGTTAGTTTTGCTGACAGAATGCCAACTATAGGCCCTCGTAGACTGCGAGATTGCTCGAGACGCAGATGCGGACCACGCACAGCTTGCCTCATACATGAAAAGCGAGAATATCTCTGACTTGAACGATGCTATAGAGCATTTTCATTTGGTTCTGAACCAGTGTCCGGTCGGCCATCCAGACCGCGCAACAGCTCTCACCAACCTCGCGTGGGCCCGCCTTCAAGGCTACATCCGAAATGATGTTCAAGACATTGATACTACCACTTCCCTGTTCCGCGACGCCCTTGCATTGCGTCCGCAGCACCATCCCGATCATCCCTTATCCCTATATAATCTCACCGAAGCGCTGGCTTGGCGCCACATCAGGAAAAGTACTGCTGCAGACATCTGCGAAGCCGCCCAACTGTATCATGAGCTACTGCCTCTCTGTCCAGAGGGCACTTACCTTCGTAGCATCGCGGCAGGCGAAAATGGTATTGATGATGTGATCGTCGGATGCAACAATCTTCCAACAGACGCATCCGATGAAGGCATCCACCTTCGAAGAGTCGTCCTCGAGCTCTGTCCTCTGGGCCATCGACTTCGTCCCAGAACCCTCGACGAGCTTGCACGAGCAGTTAGAACACGGTTTGATCAGCACGGCAGCATCGATGATCTTGACACGAGCATACAGCTCCGTCGTGAAGCCGTGTCTCTGTGTCCCGAGGGAGATGCTGACCGTGATGGCTACCTGAACAACTTGGCCTTTTCACTCGTGTCCCGCTTTACACACCAAGGCAATACTAATGATCTCGATGAGGCCATCTCTTTGTATGAAGCAGCGCTGCACCTGCGCCCTGTTGGGCACGAATATCGGGATTTCTCATTGGACAACCTAGGGGGCGCCCTCGCCTACCGTTTCAACAAACGCAGCGATATCGAAGACATCACCAGAGCTATCAGCCTCTATCGCGAGGCCCTGATGTTGCGCCCACCTGGGCATTCTGGTCGTACCATCACGCTTCACAACCTTGCCCACGCGCTCCAAAACAGATATGACAAATCGCAAGTCAGAGAGGATCCTAACGAGGCCATTGATCGGTATCGTGAATCCCTTCGGTTAAAGCGGCTTGACCATCCAAGGCGCCATGTAACTCTTTTCAATTTGAGCTCGGCGCTCTGCTCTCGTTTCACAGAAACTCAGAAGAACGAAGATGTTGAGGAGGCCATTGCTCTTTGCCAAGAATCACTGGCGGCTCTGTCTTCACTGCACCCGGACAGGTTTTTCAGCTACATGCGGCTGCAGGAGGCCTATTTGTCCCGTTACCGGATTCTACACGACCCTGCTGATTTGTCTCTTGCAGTGGAGAATTCCAGACTCGCATCAAGACATTCTACTCAAGGCTTGCCAGAACGGATCGTTCGCTCATTTAATTGGACCGTTGCAGCGGAGCAGCATGGTCATGGATCTGCGCTGGAAGCCTACTCAACATTTTTTGAGCTTCTGGATGCTCATTTGGCAACACGGTCTTCGGCAACTTCACGGCGCGAAGCTGCTGCTGCCTTTCATGTCGCCAGAACGCTCCCAGCAGATGCAGCATCATGTGCCATCCGCTGTGACAATCTTCCACATGCAGTTGAACTTGTGGAGCAGGGCCGTGGCCAGCAATGGTCGCTGGCCTCCCGACTCAGAACTCCGGTTGAATCCCTTGAGTCAGCGAATCCGGCACTGGCGCACAATTATTTGGAGCTGAGCAAGCTCGTTTCGAGTGCGGCCCAGAGTTCTGCAACAATCACCGACAGGGCTGCTGCTGATCGGGCAGCAATGGAGTACAGGAAACTTACAAGGCAATGGGAAGCTGCGGTTGCTGAAATACGTGATCTTCCGGTGTTTTCGCGGTTCCTGCTCCCACCTCTGTATGCAGACCTGCAAGCGGCAGCCCGCCAGGGCCCGGTCATCATCCTCATTGCGAGTCAATACTCATGTAGTGCCATCATCGTCCCGACATCAGGAGACCCCCATCATGTTCCCTTGCCATCTGTCACTCTGGCTGATCTGACCAATCTCAAGGACCGCGTTGGCAGGGCAATACGGCACGCATCTACCCTGGGCCCCAAAGTGCCGCGAAACGATCTAATAGTCCTCTTGCGGACAGTATGGGACGAGCTCATGCTACCCATCGTCAACGTCCTCCAGCATAATCTAAAACTAAAATACTGTCGAATCTGGCTGTGTCCAACTGCAGCCTTCACTTCTATTCCTCTCCACGCAGCTCACCCTTTTCGAACAAACTCAGATGGCTCTAGGGAGCAATGCCTGGAGGATCTCTACATCTGCTCTTACACGCCCACACTTTCGGTTCTGGTCAGATCCAGACAGACGATGAAGAAGCGCGTCACTCCATCCTTCGTGACAATTGGACAGGGTCAACCGGGTGCAGGGAAAGGCAGGGCGCTCATGGCCGTCGACAGTGAGCTCGAGCTTGTACATAAGCTCGTTCCTGCGACGGCCAAACACACTACTATGTCTGGAGACGCAGCCACACGAGCAGGTGCGCTCGAAGCTTTGCAAGAGAACACCTGGGTACACCTAGCTTGTCATGGCAAGCAGGACCCAAAGCAGCCTTACAATTCGCATTTCGTCATGAAAGACGAAGATCTGACGCTGCTCGATATCATGGAGAGAGATGTTCCTCACGCCGAGTTCGCGTTCTTATCAGCGTGTCATACCGCCGTCGGGGATGAGGAGACTCCCGACGAAGTGATTCACCTTGCAGCTGGTCTTCAGTTTTCGGGGTTCAAGAGCGTCATTGGGACGCTGTGGCAGGTCGATGACTCTGTCGCAAAACACGTCGTCAAAGCTTTCTACGAGAAGATGTTCCCAGATTTGAAGGATGGAGGTGTGATGGACTGTACGAAGGCGGCCTGGGCACTGAACCGTGCCACGCATGCTGTGAAGACGACAGTGCCGCTGGAGCAGAGGATGGTTTTCGTTCATATTGGTGTGTAGTTCTACATCGTATTGCTGTCGTCTGGCACCTATTCACAAGTTGTTGATTTGCGATCTTCTTTCTTACTGTTGTAAAAAATGAGCTCGATATATTCTTGCACTCTAGCTATAACCTATCTCGTTTTCGTATACTCTGTACATTGTATCATAGTTGTCGACTAGAATGTTCACCAACGCTCTTGTGTACTCAACTCGTTTGCAGCCTTGTCTTCTGCTTGAGTGATTGGATAGTGGAATTTGGGCCAGTCAAGCTTACCAGTTACTTATACTAGGGATCCTCCGACCTACGACATCGATAGGTCTTCCATCGGACAAAATTGTGATCTCAACTCTCAGCCACAGATATACAGCGGTGAGTAGGCACTTGTATATACTATGCATACGCTTGTCAGGTACTAAGTCGAATCAAAAGAATGCTATCCCAGAGCCTCATGTCACGGTGCTGTTCCGCACCCGAGTCGGATCAATTGAACAATTCAGACAAGTTCGACAACTTGGCTGCCGCAGGATTTGACTGACTAACCTAACTCCCAGCCTGAGCTACCATTGAATAGAACGGAATGATTGGTTGTTGTGTATACTGTCATTCTACGAGACGGAATCCAATCGGACCGTGTGGGCGGAACATTGCTGTTATTTGTCCAGGTTTCCTACTACTATCACTCATGACGACAGTCCGGCACTCCACAAGGCGGTACCAACAAACTAATCGAGCCTCCTACCAACTTCCTACTATCACTCATGACGACAGTCCGGTACTCCACATGCACCCCCATTGGAGGCGCCGATCAGCCCTTTTTTGTGGTACCAACAGACTAATCGATATGAAATTAGCTTGTGTGTCACAATCTATAAGGCACATCAGACCGTTGAGGTCATCCCTCAGGCCTCAGACCCCACTATTATCACCCCATTATGGCGCCTGACTCTTCTGACACTGCACCGATCTCGCCCTCGAAGGAGCATGTTGAGTGCAAAGAACTCGATGTCGACGTAGAATTTGGTGGTATAGAGGCACGAAACAAGCTAGAGCGCAGGTTGTTATTGAAACTCGACATGCACATGTCAATGCTGGTCCTCATCTTTATCCTCAATTTTGTGAGTAACCTCGCGTCAAGGCGCCTGATATATATCTCATTCTTGTACTAGATCGATCGAAACAACGCTAGGTATGCCCTTGTCATGAATCGCTGATGCATCATTTACAACAGATTAAGTGCGGCACGCACACAGCTCACCGCCGACCTCCATCTCGAGGGTACACAATATGCGACGTTGTTGTCTATCCTCTATGTCGGATATATTATTATGCAGGTCCCCTCCAATATGTTTCTCAATTACATCGGAAAGCCGTCGCTTTATCTGCCTGCTTGTATGGTAATTTGGGGAGTCATATCGGCGCTGACTGGAATTACTACAAAGTATGACCGATCATTGATGTCTGACAGATGACCGACCATACTCCTCATAATAGTTTCGTTGGAGCGCTCCTAACGCGATTCTTTCTTGGCTTCATAGAAGCAGCTTTTCTCCCCGGCGCCGTGTTCTTGATATCCAAGTGGTTCGTTAATCGTCGAGTATTCAGCCGAAGTTCTGAAATTCAATGTACAGGTACAAGAGAACAGAGATAGGTTCCAGATTAGCCATCCTATATTGGTAAGGGTACTACCATGCTGGTGGATATATCTATTCATTGACGGCACCATTACAGCGGAAACATGATCAGTAACGCCTTCGGAGCTCTCATCGCATCAGGTATTCTTGCTAACATGGATGGCGTCCGTGGGCAAGCCGCATGGAGGTAATTCAATCCAGTTGATTTGTCAAAGGACTCTGTTGAATTTCATTTATCAGGTGGCTTTTCTATATCGAAGGAAGTCTGACTGTCACCGTTGCGATAATGGCTGCCTTTGTTTTGCCGGACTTTCCAATGACAACAAAGTGGCTTACTGATGACGAGCGCCGGCTTGCACTGAAGCGTATGGAGGAGGATGCTGGTGTCGGAGACCAGTTAGAAACTGAGAACGGCGGCTTCGGTTACGGCTTTTACCTCGCCATCGCCGACTGGAAGGTGTGGTGGATCGCAACACTATTGATTGCTCAGGTTATAGCGTTATCCTTCACTGGCTATTTCCCTACTCTGACTGCAACACTTGGCTACAACCCAACGGCATCGCTGCTCCTCGTTGCGCCTCCTTGGATATATGCTGCCATTTTCACATTCGTGTGGACCAGGTAAGGTGGGATATCGAACAATCTAGGAACTGGTCTGAAGACCTCCTCAGACACTCTGATAAAACACAAGAAAGGTTCTTGCACATGAGCATTTCGAACCTCATTGGCATAATTGGGTCTCTTATTTCGATATGTACCATGAACACTGCAGCCCGATACTTCTCTCTGTATGCACATAATCTTAATTTCGGACATCTCGCTGATAGTGGCCCCCTCAACAGCTTCCTCATGGCGCAGTCCAATTCAGCAAGTGTCTTGATGACCACATGGGAGAGTAACATATTTGCGCGACCGCCGTCAAAGCGCGCAGTATGTTTTTCGCTTATCAATGCAGTTCAGCAACTAGGCAGCATCTCAGGGTCGTGAGTAGTTTAATCGATTATTAAAATTTCATTGACGAAATAGATGGCAGGTACGCCTGGCCAACTAATTGGGGTCCTACCTATCGATACTCTTATACCATTGTGATCGCCTGTAACGTTACCGCGATTACGATGACTTTGATTCTCAGACAGCATCTGAAGACATTGAACAAGAAGCTGGAGAGAGAAGAGCAGGAGCAAGGGATCGAAGAAAAAGGATTCCGCTACGTTCTCTGAACGATGGCTTGGTGATCTATGGATTTAAATTTTATCTGAATGAAGCTAACGGGTTCTCGTTTGTGTGAAGTAGATATATCCGAGGGACAATGGTCAGTGGTAGCGAAGAGGACCATAATCTTCTTTTGATTGATGTCTGATCTGATGGATACTGTTGGAGCAAAGAACGTTCTGTTGTGTATGCGACCTCACGATTCCAAGATAGTGCGTCGTTATCTCCCTGTCGACGAACTGATTCAAATTAGTCGATGTGGTCGAGTCGGTGGAGTAAATTATGTACTTACCTCGTAGTTGACCCAGTCCCCTTGACTTGAGTCACGACGTTTCGAAGGCCCGTCGTCTAGCAGCCGGGTAAGCCCTCTCCTCCCAATTTCCGTTCAACGATGAATGGGAATGATGGGTATTTCAACATCACGTTGGAAGGCCTGGTGTGCCCTACGATCAAGATTGATGTTATTGTTTTGCACAAAACGGCCTCGCGAGACAAACCTGTTCAAGTTGGGGTAGTCATACCACATGAATGAGTCGACAGAGCCTATTCGTCGTCCCTGTTTGCGCACACATCATAATTTCTCAGAGAAACAGAAATATGAGTGAAAGTTCGTGGACCGGTAACCAGTTTGCCTGGGTGGATTTGGAGAGATGTTGAATTCTTGTCAAAATGCAAAGGTATGCTGCTGCTATGGTAATCGCAATGTAGTGGTCAAGTTGTGATCAACCAGACATGTGCAAGCTTGGTGAGCTTCAGTCCTGGTTGAGAAAATTTTGAAATTTAGAGCCGCTTGCAGCGAAGCTCAGTTCATCAAAATCGCTGTCGCTGTCTTTGATGATCGCCTCGCAGTCTATATTGCTGGGCTCGACGAAAATAGGGGCCCGTGCTGGTCGCTGCACGATTTGAGTTGGCAACGACCTAGTCAAACGATAAATTGAAACTCGAAACCAAAAACAGACTCAGGTTTTACGGATGACTTTGAGAACTTCCAATGCGCCTGGCGGGTTTGAGTTGAATTTTGACAGGTCACAAAGTAAACTGCTCCGTATGTAGAGCAATCCCGCCCATATCCATACCCATTGTCAAACTCAATCTCGGGACTGCATTCTGCGCGTCTCTCGTCAAGCTCTCTGGGCCGCTAGCGCAGACCGCGACTCCCCCACCCAAGCTAGGCGATTTCTGACATCGAGTTTCGATCAGATCTTCCTTTTCAGACGATGGCGGAAGACTGATGAGGTCCTTGAGAATATTATGAATAGACGGACGCGAGAGTGTGACGATGGAGTTAGGGATATCAGGCACCGCTTCCGGATTGCAAAGGCACGCCACGAAAATAGAGATGTGCAGGTCTATGGTGCTATTCGACGCTGCCGTAGCAATATCTATCAGCATCGGAGCAAGCCATTCTATCTGACCTGTACAAATAGATCAGAATGATGTGATGCCAGTAGTCAAAAATGAAATACCGAGAATGTACCAGGTGGACTCGATTCTCCTCGTTCGTTCCTCCTGACTGCGGCCTAGTTTGACACACCTGCCGATGATGTCGTCCAGCAGACCAAGAGTGAGTGTGACCCCAGACCCGCCGGCTACAAGAAACACGCTTTCGTACAGACCCAGATCGACACCTGACCCCCCAAAAGGACCATCCAGTATGACTTGAACAAAAGCACCCGAGTCGCCCTAAGACTTCTCATTGATTTGCAAACGTTCTTGTTGCTGTCGGGTGTAGTTATTCAATGCCCGCGTTCAGTCTCCATCGCTTCGTGCCGCGAGAAGGAACCCAGGTAAGGAGAGGCAAGAATGAGACGGTGGTGCTGAGAGGATAGTAAAGGAATGGGATTCAAAAACTTTGTTGGAGAAGAAAACGCGCAATCTGACATGCTGGCCAGCGAGCCAGCCATCGTCGCAATTATGAACGCGGATCTATGATAGATGAAGTCAACAGTGCATCGAACAACATTAGAATACTGTACCAAAGTCATGTGAGTGTCCTGCGCAGTGAGGGTGGCATCCTTTATTTGATAGCGGAATAGGCGCAATAAAACATCTGCGCCGTAAAATGCAAAGGGAGGGAATATCCACAGCAATGCGTACAACGTATAGTAGTATATGGTGACAAAGAATGCCATGTATGTCAAAACACTTCAGAGAAGGTTAGCTGTGATGCGACGCGAGGTAACAAAACTTACTGGATGACGGAGCAACACCCATAACTTAAACAGTCTCCTGAATGTCCTCAAAGACGTAAGGACGATGATGGAGAGGAGGGCCAGCGAAGCCACTCCCGAAGTCTCTTTCTGCGGACCAAGAATTGCAAGTCCATACTGCAGATGATTGCGAATCCACAGGGACCCATGAATGCATCCGCCGAGGAACATGGCTCTTCCCGCCATCCTATGCATAAGGTTGAGTTTCTCGTAGCCATTCCCTGGTCCAAACAATAAGGACAGAATTAGTGATGTGCATGGCCCGGCTTCAGGCCGTGGGCCAGGCCAGGCCAGAATAGGCCAGGCCAAGCCAGGCCAAAGATCATGGCCTGACCACGGCTTTGGCCTGGCCTGAGGTACTGAAAAGCCAAAGCCGGCGAGGACATCCGGGAAATGGAATTTTCCGGGTCCGTCCGGCTGGGTCCGCCCGAGTGCGGATCCGTCCGGTTCACGACATGATGCGCCATTGGTTATCTTTATGCTTTATCTCTTGCTTTCAACCAACCACTGCCGCCAGCACGCCTTTGCACGTCCGCCCGGTATGTGTTCTCTCAATCTCTATGCTACCTGTAAGTTTCTAATACGACCTGTATTTCCTGAGTACTAACTACTACATTCCACAGCATGTCATTCATTTCTCAATGTTTATGCGATCCTCAAGCTACTAGATAACGTTGGTAAGTTTATTTTTGTGCCCGCCAGATGAATATGGCTGATATCCTCCGATCACCAGGTTTCTTGACAACCATGAATACCCCATCCACCTCGCGGGGTGCACCATCATGGCAGGCTGTCCTCGATGCTCGACTGGCTCAACCCCAACCTGATTTCATCCACTCATGCACCAACTGCAAAGAGGAGGTTCCTTGGCGACGGTGCAAGTCAAACGAGAATGGAAATGAGGGCCGTTGGGTGGCAGTGGTAAGTGCTATCTTTCCCAGACTCGTTCGCTGCTGAATTTCAACTGACTCCAATCACTCAAGTGCAAGAAATTTGCTGGCGAGCAGCAAGTGCCATGCAATTTCTTTCGCTGGGCACGGGGCTCAACCAGTCCCTCCAGCTCCCCCACTTTGGCCGCAGCTCAATTAGCCCCAACCACTATCGTCCAGCCAGCTCAGCTAGTCCCAACCGCTGTCGTCCAGCCTGCTGCCTTGAGCAATGCCACATTGCTCCTTATGTGTGCTGCCCTGGTCTGCAAGAAGCGCCCCCATGCACATTGTGAGAACGCTGCATGCCGAACACATTGCAGCCTGTTGGGTGGTTGTTCCGTCAAAGGACATACCTCCGCTGTTGTGTTGGATCTATCATTGGCGCTTCGAACACCTCATCAGCCTCAAGCATGTCCACCTATGCCTCCACCCCCACCTTCGCAGCCAGCATTGATTCTTGATGCTGCACCCTCTGACTTGGACGTCCGTCTGTCCCCACCCTTGGCCTCTTTATCGGAAGTTCCTGAGCCTCCTGCACAAGTCCAGAAGGGCAAGGGTCGCGCTGTTGAGCTTCCAGATGCTAGTGAACCTGTGCAGCTTCCTTCACGCATGGTTGCTGGCCCATCACAACCCAAAGCCTGAGCAGCACCACGCTATGCAACGCAGATGCCTGCCATCTTTACGCAGCAAAATGCTCGTGAAGAGGAAATGAATGAAGAAAGGCGCCAATGTGAACTTGAACGTCTCCAGGCTGCGGCTCGGGAGAAGAACACTGTTGTGGTGTACGCATGGACTCAGAATGGTGTTGAGCCCATAATTTACGAATTTCAAGACGGCTTCAAACTACCCAACTTCTACTTCACACTCTCGGTCCTCCAAAAATTATGCATGACCTCTGAGGTCCCTGATATTCCTGCTCCTGCAAGGATTGCTCCTATCCAGCGGTACAACCGTGCCCTCGACACATGGACACAGTTTGATGTGGGCCACATGGTCACTCTGCATGAGCGCGATGCTGGCATCCTCTTTGTGAGGGATGCACGTGTCAGGGAGTGTGTAGACTTTGACCGGCACCTTCACAGACTGACACGCCCAGTAAGCGCTAACCTCATGACAGACCTGACGAGCGAACGGAAGTATGTGCGTGCTGCATCTCTTGCACGGAGCTCACGTACACCATCTCTACCTCCTACCAATCCTGTGCCACATACTCGCAAACCTCGCTCTGGTATGCCCTCACTGTCGCCAGTCGCATCAGACAATGAGCATGAAGTGCCTAATGACTCGCCAGCTCAACCAATCAAGCGGCGCTCATTCAAACCACCAATCAAGCGGCGCTTTTCATCTATCTTGTCATTGACAGATAGTGATGGGGATGACACGACAAAATCTGTCCACACAACCAAGCGGCACCATTCTCCACTTCCTCAGGCTCCCCGCCGTGTTTTACCATGCCGCAAACAACGCCCTTTTGCCGACTCATTTGATCTTTCTGATGCCTCCGACTCTCATTCGCTCTCATCATCTATCTCGTCAATGCACTCAACACCGATCGTGAAGAAGGAGGATTCGGGAAGTCTTCTTTCACGCGGATCATCAAGCCATGATGCCATTGTCGTCGAAAAAGTTGCAATCTGGCCCGTTGACTTTTATGTGGTTGACATTTCTCGTGGTTTCAATGCTTGTCAAAGGGCGGTTGATGGACGACACAGTGTGGCAGATGCATTTGTCGGCCACTTTGGTGTACCATTCAAGGCATCAACGTTTTATGACAACCGCAAGGTGTGGGACTTCAAGCCCAACACATCGCTTCGCCAACGCTACATTGATTATGGTCGAACAGAGAAAGGAAGCTGGACTTCCTTCATGAAGAAGGCGAAACGGCCGCACAAGTAGGTGCACACAACTCTGATTGTTAAGACTTCATTCTTTAGTTTTGTTCGCATTGCCCACAGTCTACACTTGTGTCCATTTAGTTCCTGTAGTTTTGTTTCTCGTAATTAACATTCACCATCTTCCAAGCCTCTGATGTGTGGCCGAGGACCGAGTAAAGTGGTTGTGCAGACTAAACGTGTCTATGGGCGTGCGTTTATGACCTCGGGATATCCTCAATCTCCTCTTGTCCCGTGAGCGCGTATTCTCCTTCGGAAATCGTACCAAACATAAAATAAGCACGCGTTGGTGGACGAATCGACATAGCACTTACATTCACCACAGACGACGCGCCAGCACATGATTGACTTGCTGCAGGTGGGGATATATCTGCCAGACAACGATCAGTAGCTAGAAATGAAATTCGACATCTCATTTACTCATTCCTAAGATAGACAAGATTAGTTTGAGATACGCATAAGATAGAAACACTGATGGCACCAAGTTTTTTGCATGCGTTGAGCAAAGTGTTGACGAAGCGACTGATTGTTTGGTCATTAACCCTTGAGTAATTGAGAATCCCCCAGGACGATAGACTCTTCGGCTCGTGGAAAATCTGGTCGATGACGTTCCAAGAACCATTTCGTGGTTGCTGTAGGTCAAGAATCAGATCATTGCGCCCCATGCATGCTGACATCCTGGACTTACCACCGGTCTACTAGCGGCAGCATTACCGCATTGGTACCCTCCGCTCTCGCTGAGTATTGCCCAGTCTGCTCTGGTGCTGTGGAATTGGGAGGAAGGATGCTTCTCGGTGGCTCCTGAGCGTTCCAGTGGTCTGCGACGTCTCCTGGAGTCCTGTGCAGTTGCTACGTTGATATCAAGTTTACTGGCTTTCGGTGGGGTGCATACGTCGGTGTCATATCCAAACCTAAGCTGAGCCGGCGTGGGATTGCTATATCGTATTCTTGTGACTCCAGGAGAGTGTGTGAGGCAAAGCGAATTTGGGGGGGGCAAGTCAGAGAACTTGTACATCTCACAGTACTAGTACAACTTGCTACACCCGAACCATTGGCGTCCGTGCTAGCTTCCAAGCCGCACTGTATGTATCGCCTCCAGTTCGGAGCTGAACAAGTCATATATTCATACGTGTGTACGAGCCCTCTACATGACCTGCTGCAACAATCCTCGTGGTGTCCGCTATCTTACCAAAGAAGCCTTTCTGATTATGGTCATCCCTGGACCAAATGAACCAACGCTCGTGCAACTCAACAAAATTCGTGGTCGAAATGACCGAACTTTATGGTAGTGCGTGTTCATTCATCTCACTATAAATATACTGATTTTTTATTGAACAGGACGAGAGTTTTGTATATATGGACACAAAACATAGTTGACCAGGTCGAGAAAGGGCTGAAACTGACACACTTCCGCGCCCAGGTGGATGCATATATGCTGCATTTGAGATGGGGCCATGGTCTTCAACAGGTACGTGATCATGGCTGCAGCGTTTATTCAAGGCTGATGTGGAGTCCATATCCCGAAGGCTTGGATCAATGACTGTATCGAAGTCACCTGGTACTTCCTCGATCTCGTCCACTGTCTCACTAGAACCCTGAACCACCTGTTGCTGCATCCTTCAGGTCAACTGTTCAGATTCCACGACACACATTCCTCGGTCAAAGGGTTCTTCTGCAGTCTTTTCATGGTGGGAGTGGAACGGGTTGAGAAAGGATGATGTTTCGTAAGCCTTGGCGAAGACTCGGTTACAAATGATCTCAAAGGTGCGTGATTCGGTACCGGCCGTCTGATTGTTACTCAAGGACTCGCTGCTCACTGACTCGTTAGGTTTCAGTGTGGGTCAAGTTCGAGTTATATTCTCCTTGCCCCCAAAGTCTTTACAATTGCTCTTTCCACCCACTGTCAACATTCCTCCTCACCTCGCATATATCGAATGATTCACTCCCTTCCCATCTGCTCCTGACCGAAACAATGGACTTTATAAACTGTCAACATTGATGCGAGGTAGTGACAGAGTGGCTAGTATCGTGCCAGTGGGTGATATCGTGCGCAGTATCCACCTTATACCGAAGTTTGGAGACTCGGCTCTGCGAGAATGGACGAGTGAGACCGTTCTTGAGGACTGTAACACGTTTTGGGTCAACTCATACATTGATAGACATACTTTTTCAATATTCAGATAATCCTCACTGATTCTCTTCTGTTGTGAAACAATTTCATATTGCCGCTACGTTGTTATCAACTTTGTTTCTAAACACGAGTAATTAAGAAAAATTATATGAACTTTCAAGATTACACGAATTTAGCCCAGGAGGGGTCGGCGATGCAGAGCAACGGATGCAAGATAATATAGCCTTGGGTATTCGTGGTTACTGACTACTCAAATACCTGCTGACATGGCCATATGCGTGGGTTGTGTCCATCCTTGCCCAGCTTCTCCTCTGTCCGATGATTCCTCCGTAAGATCAACTCATCACAAAAGAAGTTGAATTTGTGAGCTAGCATTTCACGAGCGATGGGGTGATACTTGCCGAACCAATTGTTTGTTTGTTCTGCCACGGAGGAATTGAACCGCCAACCCTTCCCATCATCGCTATGGAGCTCAGGGAATGCTTCTGGGTTGCAATTCTCCTGGCAGAATGTGTCGGTCTGTGAATGCTTGCATTTGAAATGAAAAACGTCGACGGACAAGCCAATGTTGTCAAAGAAAGGATCGCCCATTGCAAGTTTTGCAAGGGTGCAGTTGTTGTCGAAGAATATGTGATTGGGCTTGACAGCGTCTTCGCCTGCATAGACTTCTTTGATGAATTGCTGCAGATAATCATGAGTTGAGGAAATGGTCATGGAATGATGATACATACCTTGACACTGGCTACTCCCTCCGCTCCAAAGAAAGTCCTTCGAGCAATAATCATACCGCATGGAGCAACAATCAACTGCTCGTTGTGTGTGCGCCGGCGGCCAAAGACTGCCCTGAACTTCTTCCTTCCAGGTCTGTCCTGGGATGAACTGGTAGCAGGAAGTGCTCTCCTGGTATTCTCATTGAACTCATACTCTTCTTCGTCTGGTGGATCATCTGTGAGAGATGTGTTGGTGGCAATGGTAGTTCTGGCACGAGCAAGGCGCTCCTGGAGCTGGAATCTGGATTGACCACGCAGCTCGTGAGTATCCTCGACTTGACGATGTTCCAGTGTTGAGCACGTGCGTCGGCCACGTACAATGGGCAGGTCACAGCCAATAATCACGCACTTGTCATTTTGACCAGAGTGTAGATGACAAAAGTGATGGTGGTTGTTAGACAGCGGGGTGTGGCAGTTATAAACCGCGCAGCATGGATGGCCGACAGTGACACCATCGACGACGACAGCGGACACTTTATGCGTGACTGTATATATCTTACGACTTAGCCCCGCATAGCCTCAAAACTATTACACTCACCGACACCTTGCTCATCTTCATACATGCTTGTGCATCTATTGCAGTAGTGGCGACGGACTTGCTCATAGCCATAAAGCTGAATGCGGCGGTTCCTTGCGATCATGGCCTCCGTGAATCGGTCTCGCTGTTCACCAGTGTGGGGAGCAATGAGGGTGTTCATGCGACGCTCGCAGTCCTCCAGCAGTGAAGTTATTACATAACCATCCCAAACATGCTCGACAGAAAGCTCAAACTTGACTTTAAAGTCTGCAGGTGTCTGCTTACCATGTGAGAGGCAAAGGTTATACAACTTTGCACAGTTCGTAGCTGAAGTCCTGGGTGCAACCAAGTTTTATAGTCAGATGGGAGAGATCAAGAGCATAGCATATAGCGCACCATGAGAAATCCATTGCAGTCCTAAAGAGCTCAATTACACTCTTCTCGATGAACACATGATCCGCAGCCTGAACACTATCTGGTTGGTGCTCGTAATAGGTGCGCTCTCCTTTAAACACACTGTAATTATGGTGGTAATCAATTCCACAAGCTAGTTGACCTTGTCAATGACAAAGATAATGACTCAAAGCAAGAGTGCGGAGTGCAAGTGCTTACTTTGACAGTAGAGATGGACAGATTTTGCAATGCATGGGCCTTTCGTCAGCGTGAACAACACCACATAGGTTTGAGCAGCCTTCTTGAGAGTCATGCCCTTTGCGCGACGTTGGCAGTCGGGATGAAGGCATGAGTGGCTAGGAGGATAGAGCAGATACTCAGCTGGGGCCATTCTATCGTTAGATAAAGAAACAGAGGTGACAACACAATCAAATGAACTTACCTAGACCCCTTTGAGTGCCATGTGTCTCCCATAGCCGTCCCACATCAACAGTGATCCCTCCACTCCAAATGACATCCTTGAGGAGGGACCATGCATCATTGACTTCAGCTGGAGAGATTGAACAGCCTGCACTAAGAAACACAGTGACTGCAGGTGATAGAACAAATGGTGGATCTGAAGTTGGACTCAAGGAAGGCTCCACAAGGATGATGTCGTTTTTAAGCCGGGTTGCAAGAGTGATGAACTGGAAAAGAGAAGTGAGTGAGGTGTTACTGATTGTGCCTGGCTCTTGTTCAAGATGGCGCAGCAAGTGATTAAACGCTGTCATGTTGTTCTACTGTTGCCACCAATGCGAATCAAATTTGATTTGAAAGTAAAAGCTCGATAATTATGATTATACAGAACGCCAACTGAGTGACGCAGGTGGACCCGGACGGACCCAGCCGGACCCAGCCGGACGGTCCCGGAGTCTGCCAATTCCCTGATATTCTGAAGCCGGCGGCCCAGGCCGCGGCTTTGCGTGCTTAGTCAGCACGGTTACCAACCAATTTGCTTCTCGGATTGTGGACTACGTCGCTATCATGTCGGTGAGTTGCAACATCTGCGCATCATTATAACTTACTTTTGTGTCATAGGTGTATTTGTTGTTAGCAACTCGTTTGCCTGTCAAGTGGCCGAGTCAACTGTGCCTCGCAACTCCCTCACAACTCTCTCGCCACATAAACCAACCATAAAGTGAGTGTGTTTTTCGGCGCTAGAGTCCAAATGACCCAGCATGTCGAAGGCCGAAGGATCCGAGATGGGTACGAGGCGAGAGTGATTCTGTGCGAGCACAACCAAAGTGGGACAAGTGAGCAACACTTTGACATCGGCTCGTGCATTTTTCATGTATCTATCCCTAGTTTACAAAGTACTTGCTCGTTACAGTGTCATGCACCCCCAATTGATATTTTTCACCACATTCTGTCCCTGCCTAGTACTAGCCTACAGCAGCACTTCTCCAACATTCAGCGCACGGCCAGTCCGCCGAACGAAGGCCAGCGCCACCCCAGATTGTATCCCGTGCTCCCTACGCTACTCGAACTCGAGCACATTACTCGACGTCTTCCTTCCTGCTCGTCTCGTTTCACCCATCTCCTCTCCCTCGTTCTCCTCCTGCTCTCATCCGTCGTCCACATTCGTCTGAGCCACGTCAGCAGTTGCTGACGTGCACTGGGCGTTTGCGCATGGCGTTTGCAGTGTTGGGAATGGTGTGGTGGAGCTTGGATTATCTCATCGTCCGCAAGCTTATAGGTCGGTCGGCAGCACTTTACCCTTCCCAAAAGCCTCACAAGCCCCTCATCTTTCATCGCGGTCCCAATTCCTCCCAGTTCCAACAACTCCAGACGCGACACTACATGCGCTAGATTGGAACATACGACGTCTGTAAGCAGCCTTGGCCTCCAGATCACTAACTACATTTTCAGTATTCGAGCCGCGGCTCAGGCCAGGGCCGGGCCAAAGCCAGCCGTCATTGGCGGCTTTGGCCCGGCCTGGATTTTTTGCAGGCCAAAGCCGCGGCTTTTGGGCCAAGCCGGGCCGGAACATCACTAGACAGAATTGAGTTTTTGTTGCAAACAAAAAGACGACCGGAAACTGTATGAGAGCGAGAAATCCTAAGCGACCCAAATAAGTGCCTCTCGTGCGTTAACGGATTGACTGACTCACCAACTCCGCATAGTGTGACTAGCCTCGTTTTCCCTAGAAGCTCGAAGGCTCCAAAAGAGCGGTTGATCTGCCAAGTTCTGACAATATTTTGTGACACTGATACTTACCAAGCTTTGCGTGGGTACACCCAATATCCACTTTTCACTGGGTGTGATCAACCAGACGTGTGCATTGTGCAAGCTTGGGGAGCTTCAGTCGAAACCTTACGGATTGATGATGATTAGTAAGTAGTTACAATTTCATACCTGGAGATTGACTGTAATACACGCGCAAGTTCGAATTCCTTGTGCCTCTGCACGTCCGACTATCTTACGGTTCTCTCTATGGAGTCTGAATATAGACCACCTCCCTTATTCATATCCACGTCCATCTCCTACGAGATACGCCTCATATCTGGTGATTCCCTCTTCACGCTGTTTCTTTCACCATTGACTCGACAGTCACTCGGCACTTTGTTCCCTTGAATACAACCCCTCCCTCTCGTCGAAGCTCCACATTCAGACGTTTACTGCAATGGTCCGCTCCTGTAACCTCTGCCATTCTGCAGCCTCAAGCCGCACTACACGTCCTTGGCCAAAGTATGGTCCCGGCATGACTTTCAAGGCTTCCCTACACTACGAACCTGCCGGCCTATCCATGCAGTGCCACCTATAATGGATAGTCCTTTTCCGTAGGGTTCAGTGTCTTATCTCTCAGCGGTGAGTGAATCCGGTAGTGGTTACGGCTTTCTCAATACTTCGTTCGTCAATCATCAATGACCGAATGAGAATATAATTGGTTGCATTCTCGCCTTATTCTTTCTCATTCCTGGCAAGTCGCTGCAGGCAAGATTATCCTTCCCCCATGGCACTGTCAGCTCAATTGGACCAGTCGTATGTATTTTTCTTTGCGCGCCGTTTTGTGGCGTTTATGAAACGTTCACACTAGAGAGTCGATAGGTTTGAATCGTCTTAAGGTTCGAACAGGGTAACTGTCCTAACTAAGTGTTATTCAAGGGGGGGTGAAAATCAACTACCCTACAAGTAGAAACGCGATGGCTTATATACTGAAGGGTAAGAAAGTCAGGGACTAAAGGAGAAAGAAACTAAATGAGTAACTAGAGAGAATGATAAAGCTAATATTTGGTTGCCATCGTCGATGTATCGTCGTCGGCTTTTGACGAGCGTTACATACGCCCTCCAGGTCCTCTAAACGAGAGGACCTTTCTTCAGGTGATGCGAGTTC